CGGTTCTTCGTAACAGTTATTTTTTATATCTCTTTTTAAAGTTTTCGATCCCTGCTTTGTACCTGTTTGGACTTGAAAAATTGTAACATTTTGAAAGAATTCATCGTATTGTGACCGCTGGTTCCGAACTTGTCATCCGCAGACAAAGAAACCGCTTTGTATCCCAGCGTCTTGGCTCGACTCCGTAGCATTGGCGACTTTCACAACACCCTGTACAATGATCCCATTATGTGAGATCCACCGATCGTGTGTATTCTCGAAACTTTTTTCACGAGCGGGGGATTCGGGCCGATGCCAACAAGATATTTCGACGAGTCGCGACTCACCGTCCAACCGACCCGACGTCCGTCTATATATTTAGACCACGGTTCTTATTTTTTTTATATACGTTGTTTTCATCACCGCCTCGTGACCGAAGATGTTCTCGATGACGAGGACGACGCCGGGTTCGACGTCGCGAGCGTCATATTTCCGCCAAACGCGACAGAAAAATCGCAAACGCTGTTGCATACCGGTTCCACGGACGATCGACGTGACACGTGCACAGCGTCGATATCTTTGCGAAGATAGGCCAGTTACGGTCGAACGAGCCTGACTTTACGAGTTTGTTAACTTTATGACACACGTTTCGTGCCGATCAGGTGTATTCGCGCTTTGTCCGCGTTATTTCCTCGCCTCGTGGAACCAAGCTGTGTCACGTTACAATTCTCGGAATCGAATATCGGTCCCGATCGTTTATGGAAACGGCGCAAACAAACATAGCACTCGGGTAGGATTATTTTCTGTTTCGTTCACCCGGATTCTTTCGGTCCAGTTCTCCTCGGTATCGTATAATTTTTCTTCCGCCGCCAGCAGCTCGACGTCTAATTTCAGCTCACAACCTAACGTATACTGTGGCGGGCCCATACCAGACCTAGCTTATCTTACCGCGAGTCTAGACCCAGCCATATCTGATCCAAGTCCGAATCCATCTTATCGCGAGTCTAATATAGCTATGACCTTGACCTAGGTAGGCCTAACTCAAACCTGGTCTAGCAGCAATACGACTCTAACGCCGGTCTGATTCAAATCCGAGCAACACGAGTGTATATTTAAATCAAAGTCGAGTTATCAACGATGCTAGAAACACTGACCGCCCATCAAGATGTCCTCCGAGATACTGTCGCGTCTACAATCAGATCGTGTACACGTTTCTTGTAAACATAGACTTATCTTATCGAATTTCTTTTAGATCGTCATACGCGTAAAAAGTACAGGCAGAAAAGTTATCAAGACAAGTTAAGTCCTCAAAGGTTTAATCCATATCCATTCGAATCGTTGACTGGTCTGCATCCTTTTCGACATGGATTTTGCAAAGGTTTTTGAATTTTTTAAAGCTAATACTCTGCCATTTCTGCTGTAATGTCTTAAAATAATTCGTTTTTATGTTTTTAATTTTTAGTTCTCAAGTTTTGCGTTAGATGGTTCCGACGATGTTCAATTAAATTTCCATTTTGGGATGGCTATTTCGTTGCAGGAATTTTCTCTTGCATTGACCAATTGTTTGCAAAACGAAAAGCATGTTTTGAATCATTATCTTGTTGAAATGTCCAATAGTATGACATTTTTTCCAAGGCATACGGTGACGTTTGCTCCTCTAAAATATTTGCATATTTATGCTTATCCATAATTTCCTTACACTACCTCTACCATGTTTTACAGAGGAAAATTAGTAACGGACATCGAATCTTTTCTATTTTTCACGATAGATCCATCGAATTCCACTCGATCGATCAATTAAAACTTACTTTCGTCGTTAACAACTATTTTTGCCCAATCAGATGCGGTCCAATGTAAATGACCTCGAGCAAATCGGAGTCGGCCTTCCTGATCTTTTTAGATACTAATGGTTTCTTAACGCCATGTCGTCCATGAAGATTAAATGATGCTAAACGACGACAAACGGTTCGTACACTCGCGTCCAACTTATCATGTTGTACCATTTCCGCATGAATATTAAAGTAGCTTCGAAATATCTCAACCTCGAGAAACTTTGAATATCGATTCCCCATTCGTTAAGACATCAATGATTTTTTCGTTTCAAATTTTTGGTAAACTTTTACCTCGTACCAAAATACATTTAAGAAAGGATGCAATATGATACTTTGACGAAAATCATGTTTCAGACTGTAATTTATATTTGTAAATGAGTCGTCCAAATAGTTTTATCCAGTTGTATACTTCACGAAGTAAGCAATTCGTAAGAGCGTAAGAACAACAAATATCAATAAAAGCGTTCTCGCCCGAATACATTTGTCTGGTACTGTATACAATCATTCACAATGAAAATCATACAGGTTGTGTCATAGGAAGTGCTACCTCGGTACAATAACAAGACAAAGAATTTGAACGAATAGAAATTATTATTCTATAGACTAATACTTAAAATTAAATATTATTTTGGAAATGGTAAATTAAATAATTACTAAACATTCATTGTACGCACTTAGCTATTAACATATTAATAATAGTTACATTTTTCCAAACTTTTTCCAGATTGAATGTTAATGAAATTGCGTGACCAAATCAATAAAAATGCATTATGTAAGTATATAAGGCATTGGATACTTATTTATCGAATAAATAAAACCTTCAGACTTGACCGATTATGGAAATTTTCAAGAATTGTTACACTTTCAAAACGATCAAAATTTTTAAGACTTCTGAGATTTCGAATGATATTCGAAGTAATTTAATTTTTCCGCTATTTTATAGTTTCGAAGCGTTTCAAATCCCACTACCGATTGTAAAACTTTCAAGACGATTAAGACTCCCAAGACAATCAAGACTTTCAAGAGGATCAAAACCAGATCAAGTCGGATTAGAATTAATTCGATTTTTTCCGCCATTTTGTAGACTCGAAGTGTTTCGAATCTCATCATTGGCTGGTTGATTTTCCCTGCGAGTGACTGTATGTGTAATCGGTTTTGTGTAGAACCACAGGTCAAGGATTGTCCCTAAATACCATCAGCCTCAGGTAGACACATCCTGGAGAAGTTTGGGCCACCGGGTACATACCATATGTCGACCGTATGAGAAAACTGGTCGACGGTGAGACGTCTGCAGATTCCGTGGCCTCCTTAAGCAGCTTCTGCTTCCCTTCCCTCGCCCCGATACTCACCTAACCATCCTCGACGAAGTATGTACTCGTTCCCAGAGAGTTGGCGCAGGCTGTCTTAAGCCCCACCAACTCTCGGCAATTATCTCTCTCTTCTCTTCCCGTCTTTTTCTCGGCTTCTTCGCTGAAAAATTGACCAAGAAGTCGAATGATCGTGCCGCAACACTGGCTCGATCGGTTACACTACCCTTACCGAATCTGCGTACGTGAATTTCGCTCAATTTCTGCCGGCCTGATACACCTTGCTTAATTGTTCCAGGAATTGCGGCGGCTCGAAGCCGCGCGGCGCTCTTTCGTGACCAACCTCGTTAATTCTCGAGGGGAACGTTTAATAGGAGGAATCTTCATATTCGTTAACGGCGGAGTTGATATCACGAGAAATCTGACAGAATGTTGCGTAAGAGAAATTTCACTTCCTCGACGAGATGAAAACTAGCATCGCCTCGCTGGTCGGCCTGCAGTGTATCTCATCGAACTTACAACCTCGTCCTTCCCAGTGAACCGATAACCATTCAGAACGGGCAGAAAGAATGCGGGGAAACTCGATTTTGTCAGCGCGCTGGCATATTTTAGATCGTTATCGGGCAACGAGTAGTCCTGAAACGTTTCGGTATCATCGTTATCATAAATTTAAAGCGTGCCCGAGACGCCTAGACGCGTTCTCAACTTCGAAGCCTTTCGTCCAGCAAAGCTGTGGCGTCGTAGCCTAGTGGGGAGATATAGTTATGGAGGGGACACGGCTCTCGAGTCTCGTATTCAGTCCCCGATGCATCGTCGAGGGGAATGCATTGACGCGGCGTGTTTTTCAAGACAAGCCTCTCGGACAGTTTTTTTTTCTCAAGAAACAACAGCCGACCTTTCGAGCATCGGGTACTGAATTGTGCGATCGAAAACGAAACTGTATGTCGCGTAAATGTTTCGTTGACTCGTTGATAACGGCTCGGCGGCTACCATCGATGTGTGCTTGAACGACACTTGAACGCTTCGTTTCTCCAGCAATACGTTCGAACGGTTTCGATCGTCTTCGTGTGACCCGTTGGAATTGGTGTTCAAGGATGCGAGCGAGTCTCTCGTGCATACATCGAGAACACCACACGCAGAGACGTTGGCCGCGCAGTCGGAGATCGACTGGTCGATGCAACAAGTGGTCGTCGGAGGCTGAAAACGAAGCGAATCCGTGTGTTCACGGCACGTCCGCGAATCGCTGCGAACGTTGTTTCGGTTAGAAGTGAATACTTGTGAAACGAAAGTGGCTCGAGGTCGTGGCGTCTTGTACGAATCTTCGAATTCCCTTACCAAACTCGTGTCACGCGCTACGAATACAAAAATTCTGTACCAGCGTTCTTCTCTCAAATCCATAATCGGATGCCGATCGGACGTACTATTGTGAATGTGATGCGCTGGTGTTCGTTACAGAGAATTCTGTAGAATCGCACCCAAGATTTTCGTTCGTAAACTACGAACAAGTAATTCCATTCCATTTCTCAAGAAATATACGACATCGATCGTTCCGATATTTGTCGAATTAGCCTCATCAAGAGGGTGGGTTCGGAAATGAGATTGTTATCGATCGGGATCGCGTTACGCGCGTACCCCGATAAATTGCAAGGACCGAATTCGATCATAATGAAAACCCCAATGACATTTGACTCTATTCGAATCTACGCTTCGAGAATCATGAAATGATGTTACTCGTGCAAGTGTAGGCATCGAGCAACGTTGATTGCAGGACAATAACGACGGATGCACGCGTTCTAAAGAATAATGAATTTTCTATTTCGATTGAGTGCCTAGTCAAGCGGTGACGATCGACCATGATGAAGTTCAAATCGCTGTTTCGCAGAGGACAACAAAACCAACAGCAGTCGCAGCAACAGCCGACGCAGCCGCAGCAGCAACAACAGCAGCAACAAATTCCGCTGCGTCAGGCGCCCAGCGCCTCCTCGCTCGAGGCGAAAAACGAAAATCCTCCGGTGGGGAACTGGGGCTCCCTCGGTAAGGAAGGAGGCAAAGGCAACGCGAAGGGAAACTACAATACCAAGGGACCCGCGAAGGGTTCCAGGATGCAGGAGCTCGAGCGTGAAATCGAAGTGTTACGCAAGGAACGTGCTCGGCTCGAGTCCAATCTGCGTGAGACGTCCTGCGACGCTCAGAATCTTCACGAGTTACGCGCCGAGCTCGCCTCTCTCAAGGTAACGTTCCGATACTGCTATACAGGGTGTCCGATCAGTGACAAATCTAGCCAAACCCAGAACGGAAGAGCTAACAAAAAATTCGAGAATCAGAGAATCAAACTGAATTTTCCAATTTCTTGTTAAGCTCTTGTTTCTGTAATATCTAGTAGCCGTCAATCGTTTAAACAATTACAAACGACTGACAGAGACACTAATTGTAAGACAAGATCTGCTAGGTAAGTTCTACCTATGGGTCTGATTAGTAGACCCGGGATAAAACACAGTAATGCTTCTTGTACAAAAAAAAGAACATTGATATTACCAAATCATAAACTGATTATGGGAGTATAAACATTTCGTTTGAATTCTACCGCGTATTTTGAAGCCCGTGTAATTAAATTGTTCAAGGCAGAAAGAAATAAGGGAGTGATTCTCGAATGTCCACTTGTGTCGTTTGCTTTCGTTCCGTTCGCTCCCCCTACTGATCTTTTCTCCATTTTTTCCTTCTCCTCGTGTGTTGCAGATCCACTCCTCTGTCCTCAATCCTCTTTCTCTGTCATCGCATAACATCATCGACCTTTACAAGGAAAACAAACACGGAGAACAGTGACTTCGAGGGGCGGTTTGTTCGCATTGAAGATGGTTGCAGTAGCACGGGTTGCGATCTACCGATATCACTGTTCAAGGTGAACATGGGTGATCCATTTTGTTCATTTTGTCTCGGTCACCAGTATGTATAGCGAAAAGCGGACGTTGCGTAATTGATGGCAATAATCTTCTTGTTTCGGGTCGTAGTACCCCGAAGGCAATTAAATATCTTTGTTAACCCTTGACTGATATTCTACGTTTCGATTTTCATTTTATTATGTTAAAGACATAAGATACAACATTGTAATTAACAAAAAACACATTGTTGTGTAGTGTTACCTATAAACAAGACCAAGAAAACTGATCAGTTTTGGCGGGATAGGCGACAAAAATATGAACGTTAGGGGTTAATTAAAGGTATTAAGAATTCCGAGGGTTTGTTCTAGGTGTAATAAAATTTCAGGAAATAATAAACACTATTTTTAAATCGACGTAAGAATAAAAATAAATTCGATCTTTTGAAAAAGAAATCTAAATTTTAGGTGATGCTTGTTTTGTTCCGTATAATACGTTAGAGGTTGGTCCCGCGTATTTAAGGGATAGACAGAGGGCGCAAAGCGTGGGGATGTTTACGAAGGAAGAAAGCTTGTGAAGCGAAGCGACTGCGAACGCTATGAAAAAACGTTGTTTTTCTCCGTCCACGGTAAACGACAAGGGGTACCTTGCTTTATAAATTGTTTACGTCTGCACGATGAGTCGTAATTCACGTTTACGAGGCTCGCTTCTCGAAAGTTATAATAACATTCACCATAACGTTCGCGGACCTAACCTCGAACAATGACACTTATTCCCCGCGTTCTTAGCGAAGATCGAAGAAAAAAAGTTTGTCACCTTGAATCGCGAACTTAGATTTCTCGGTATTGTCACAGTATATCGTGCGGCTAGGCATATTGTGTTTCCCCGTACTATTTCGTCTGAGTAATTAGAGTCCGATCAGCCTCCATGTTCTCGTTTACATAAGCGTCTGGCACAATGTTTTGCATATAAATAAAACACCAAGTCAAGAAGTGCAAACGTTCACGATTATGCCTATGTACGATAATACCTTAAAAATGCAACAAGCGTATGTTTGAGAATCACTCTTGCCAGGTTTTTCTTTTGCAAATGGACTTTTCTTGAAACAATTGTGTGTTTGGAAGATTGAGATTAATAGAAATTCTGTGCTCATTTTTTGTAACTATAGGAGCAGCATAGCTTGGAGTTAGACCGTCTCACTGAGGAGAACGAAGCTCTTCGTGCTAGACTTAGGGACGTAGCACATTCTCCATTGTCAGATTCAGAGAAGCAGCAGCTACTTCTGGATGCATCAAGATTACACAATTCTGCACCAGCATCAATAGCAATCCCTCAAGATGAAGGTTCTACGCCTGTCTCTACTGTACCCCAGGACAGTGCTCAGTGCATCACCCCAGATTGGGACAAACATTCTTCCAGTTCTGTATCAGAAGTTTCTGTTGCATGTCTGCAGGATAGAATTTTGCAAATGGAAGAAACGCATTATTCAACAAACGAAGAGCTACAGGCAACAATACAAGAATTAAGCGATCTACAAGTACGGTCATTAATATTTACTGAAAATTGTAATTATTAAATAATGATTTAAAACATTGATCGTTTCTGTTTATAGGCACAGCTTACAGAACTACAGGCTGACAATGAAAGGTTAACAGAAGAGAAAGATGTACTTCTGGAGTCACTGTGTAGGCAAACTGAGAAGCTTGAAGATTCACGTTCCAAGGTCGATACGTTACAAGGTTTGCTGTTAAGAGAGGAACAACCACAGGAATCTTCTAAAGGATACAACACAGAGAGAGAGCAAAAATTAGTAGATCTTTTAAAAGTACGTATTTCTAGCATTACGAGAAAAACGTCGATCCAACTGCAACCAATTTATTTACTGCATTGATTAATTACAGAGTGCGCAAGAGGAACGAGAATCTTTGCTACAGAAACAGGAGGAATTAACGTCCGAGCTGAAAGGTTTGCGAGCGGCAGCCGAGGTCAGCGCTGCAGAAACTGAACGGTTGACGAAATGTGTACACCTGCTTGAATCGACGGTGGACGCGACGAACATTGAACGAAAACAGCTAGATATGGAATTGGCAGAGGCCAGGCAAGAGGGTGCAAATCGAAGCATAGAAATTAGCAGGCTAGCCACGTTACTGGAAAATGCACGGGCCAAAATCGAAGAGCTGGAACAGTCGCGTCAGGTGGAAAGCAAAAGCGAAGCGGATGAATTGTTGGATGCAGCCAGGAGAGAGAAAGACACGCTAGAAACGCAAGCGGCAGCTCTGCAGGAGCAGTTGGCGCGCTCGCATTGCGATCATGATCGTCTTAGGGATCAATACTCGCAGCTTCAAGAAGAATATAAAGTATGTATAGTAAGACTTTATTTAATGTTGTTTCATTATCAATAATTATGTAGTTATTACATAGATGTAATCGTATCCGTGTGTTATGTAAAAGGCGCTTCTTTAAGCACTATGATTCCTGTGATCCGCGGACCCCGAGAGTCCATGGAAAAAAACAACAAAGTGGCGATTGTCTTTTCTTTTTTTTTTTTAATCTATTTGTCGAGGCACGTGTCAATTTGCAACGGTGTTCTAAGCCGCGTAATTATATATCTAATTATCTCCTAACGAGCATTGTCAAGTTAAAATTTTAAAAGGTATCTTTACATAGTTGAAGTCGTAATAGTGTTACATTTGGTAATGTCTACTATCAGAATATTTGTTTACGTAAGATTAAAATGGTTCCACTTCGTTTACTGAATTTTAAGAACTTGCTTTTTGTGGTAATCGTGGTCTGTACTATTCTATGCAAATCCGTCGCGTTGATAAGAGGAAAGGGTGTTAATTTATTATTTTTTTCAGGTAGCACGCAATAATGCAAAATCGGCTATCGACGATTTGGAGTACAGATTAAATCAGTTGAAAGACGAACGATTATCGGTGAGCACAGAGCTTCAACTCGTACGGGACTCCTTGACGGAATTGCAGACGCAGTGTCAGAGGCATTTGGAAGACAAGAGGGAACTGAAAGCTGCGTTAAACGAAGCGCAACGAAGAGAACGCGACGCTCAGGCGCGCCAGTATGAGTTGGAACGCGCTTTGGCAGAGGAACAAAAACTGAGACAAGAGGAGGTCGCTGAATGGGAACAATTTCAAACAGACTTACTAATGACCGTGCGAGTCGCGAATGACTTTAAAACGGAAGCCCAGAGCGAGCTGGAGCGCGTCGTTATGGAAAACAAGACGCAGCGCGATAAGCTCAGAGCGCTAGAAGCGCAGCTTGATAAGCTCAATAAGGGTAAGTAAAATACATCGTTAAGATTTCGTGTTTTGTATAAATTTTGCCGTTAACGCACAAGAAAGACAATCGTTAGAATATTAATCTGTATCTGTAGACACGTGCTACCAGGGAAGCGTTTCAGTATATTAGTAAAGCGATTCCAGTTTATAATTAGATACTTTTTTTAACAAATCACAGAGGACCAGGAGCATTATTAATACAATACATGTTATCTGTTTTTTCAATTTCATTCGGATGTCAGGCAGCACTCCAGTCCCCCAATGTAAGACATTCGGTAACACGATTGGATTTAGTCGCAAACCTGCGAGCAATATATTGAAACGCGGCCGTACTATCATAAAGAGGCGGCACGAATCCAAGAAAGGCGCATCACGGACTAATATGGTGAAAACAATGACCGAACCGGATCCGTTTAAAACAGAGAATGTAAAGTGTCTACCCTTGAATGATGACGGTGATTCAATCATATCGGAAGAGCTAAATTTAACGCTTCCGCGTGAAGACACGGAATCAGGTGATGATAATAATGAGTTGTGTTCCAAGGAACCTATTAAATTAGATGAGAAGCTGATTTCTGGCGAAGAAGTCGAGTTTTGCCCTACTTTTGGTTCGGACGCGTTAGATTTAGACAAGGCAATCGATGTGTCCACGTTGAACGTTGACATGTTTGAATTAAATGATGTTGCTTCTGCAAATCCACGCATACTGCAAAAGCAATTATCGATAGAATCGGATCATATAGACGAGAAATCATTAAATAAAGAGATCTGTAATCATAAAATCATAGATTCAAATGAAATGCTTGAGTTAACGGAAAATTATCGAAAATTGTACATCCCAAATGTTTCCGCTTCCGAGGAAAGTCTAGTTGCAAAATTGTCTTTGTTAAAAGACATAAAAGGTATTCAAAGCATTGGAGAGGATTCAGTTGGTATAAATATCTCAAACAGTCGATTTTACGTTCCTAAAAATTATTTATTCCCCGGCGTAGAAAATTCGATGAATGATCTAAAGTTTGAAGTGGATCCGGGAATGAGAAAAGTGTTGCAAGAATGTGCCCAAGCGAATAGTAATGCAGAATGTTCACCAAGTATCACGCAAGAATCTCAGAATGAACCAAAATCGGAAGGGGATAAAGAGAACTTGTCCAACGAATTAAATGTAACTTCAAAATTAGGGAATGAGCATAACAACGATTATTTTCTCACAAAAAAACGTAGATTATTTTTGAAGAAGAATGAATCCAGATCGGGTAGTGAAATCGTCAACTCCCTTTTAGACAATACCATTCATAACCGAAATGTTTACAGTTCCACTTTAAGAAATAAAAGCTTTTCTACTTCTTTGGATAATATTAACTTTAATATAACCACTCATTCTATCGATATTCACGATAAATCAAAAAGCAAAGAGCCATTGACCGATGATTGTGATAATAATGAAGGAAGTGCCATAGAATATAGAGATAAAAATGACCCTGTATTTTCAAGACCACAGAGCGTTCCAACCGAGTCTTGTTTATACAAACAATCGGAAGATTTAAATGTAAAAAAGACAAACACAGAAAATACTAGAAAAGAAATGAACGAAAGGAGTGCAGCTACATACACGGAGAAACATAGTACGTATCCAATTCTATCTTCTTTGGAAAATTTGCCTGAATCTACAATCGATACTTCATTGGCGTCGATGGCTTCACGATTTACGTCAAAAGAGCCTGTAAATTCGAGCTCGAAGAAAAGTATTCGATCATCGGACTCATTAAACTCGTTTGTTTTAACGCAAAGAACGTCTAATGGACCTTCGAAATTCGATAACAAATTGCAGGGGTCAAACAGGAATTTGACCCTTTGCGAAGCGAATCGTCTGAAGCGTATGAAATTCTTGAACATGAATTTATCTCAGTCTGAAATAAATACAGATGAACTGCCCGCGATAAATGGTTCCGTTGTCACAGACCAAAAGAGGCCGCCGAAGAATGAAATTAGAATCGTGAACTCAGATTCTAAGATCGATCAGAACGTTAGCGACTCCATGTTCGTATGCAAGGATAAAGCACTGATAGGGAGGACATCGTCTTTAAGAGAGAAATTTGAAACGATCGTAGAAGACGTGGAACTAAGACCAGGCCGACAAATAGGTACAATACGCGACCGTAAGTCGCCAGTAGTGTGGAAACGTGATTGCTTGTATTGCAGAGTTCAACCCCCCATTGTCTGTCCTGGTTTCTTACTCTAGCGAAAACACACAGAAAAACTCGTACACCCTTCTCGTTGCCTAGTCTCAACCATTCTTCTAGGCCCTACTTTTTTACCTCTCACGTTGTTTCAATTAATCAGTACTGGCTTACACCACGTTTTATAGTGTTGTTTTTCATCCTGAAATTTGTTTTATGTTTTGTCCCTTGTTGAACTGTACATTCGTACAAAAGTAAATGTAAATAGAAACGGGCGACTCTACGTTAAGAATTGAGAACGCGTAATTAACTATAAGTTTTTCTAGAGATTTCTTTTTATTGTTATATTTGTGCTTTCTGTTATATGTACACATAGTGCTTATTGCTTTTTTTTTTCTTTTTTGTTTGTTTTACGTGGGATAAAACACAGACGGTGTGAATTAACTTTTGTTGATTTTTGCAGCGAATCAGAAGGTGATACAGCAACCGCCGCAAAGGCCTGCGAGCACTCCGACTGATACTCAGCAGTGTGTGTTAACCAGTGTACAACAAGAAATTGCCGCACGCCGTAAAGCTAATATTTCTCGTCAAGATTCGAGACTCTCCGTAAAATGTCTGATAGAGAGCATAGAAAATGCCACTAAACAAGCAAAAGCGGGTGCATATAAATTCTACCTTGTACCTATGTGTCTCGCGATCTCCCGACGGCGATTAAATATTTTATTATCTTGTGAACAGGACCCGGAAGTCGTAGCAGTTCCACGTCCTCCCTTAATTCCATTGGAACGAACGACATAATGACATTAAAGGCTCCGCTCAGGGATCAACAGCAGATCAATAACTTGATCTGCACGGCGAATTCGACAAATAACAATAAAACTCAAGCTGCGATAGCCAGAAAGCCGTTGTCAGGTAACTTTTATTTCAACTAAAAAGCTTGCTGCGCCTAAAGCTATCGCCAATCAATACCCTTGTTATATAAATACGGATGGGTTTATCATTGGACTAACTCACGCACTGCTTATCTACTGTTTTACAATCGTATTTAATGCAAACGTTACTTGCGAACTTCTCTGACGCACGCACGCACGCACGCCTGTACGCTTGACAAATTCAATACAGTGAATCGAAAACATTACACTTAGCCACGTTCTTCCAATGATTAACGCAGAAACAAAGTCAACACCTGTGGTGTTGAGCCCAGGTGAGCTGCTGGACTCGGCCGCTCTGAATGCCAAGGCGATCGACTTTGTACGTCGCAACAGCGTGACAGACTTGTCAGAACGCAAAGATCCTCTTTGCGGTCTGATCAAGAACGGGGGCTCGAAACGAAACGCTTTGCTCAAATGGTGTCAGAACAAAACGTTAGGCTACCGGAATATCGACATAACGAATTTCAGTAGCTCCTGGAATGACGGTTTGGCGCTTTGCGCCATCCTTCATTCCTACCTACCACACAAGGTACCCTACGACACGTTAACGCCGGTGGAGAAGCGAAGAAATTTTTCTATTGCTTTCTCCGCCGCTGAGAGCGTTGGAATACCTACCACACTGGTAAGTTTAGTCTTTACGGGAATCTGTTTTTTTGAAGAAAATGTTAAACAGATAATTCGTTTCATTCGCAGAACATAGGTGAAATGTGTCAATTAGAACGACCTGATTGGCAACAAGTCATGACATACGTGACCAGTATTTACAAACATTTTGAAACGTAATTTTGGTTCAGTGTCCTCGTATCATCGAGGGAGGCTCTCCCCACTGAATGCCCTTAAAACTTTTCGCGAGAGTGAATAAGAACAAGATCATCTAGTCAACCAAATTCTATAAGACAAAATTTCGCAAGGACTATTTCGTGGATTTCCAAGGATCGCTGGATCAGCTTTGCCTGCACCTAACCGCTTGTACATGATCGCGAGTGTTTCGAAGTACCCAGAATTCGATGGAAGACTAAACACCAAATGGAATTGCTTTTCACTATGAGACTGAATGTTTATATACACATGCATATATAGGAAGAACGCGGGGATAAAGAACTGCAGGCAAGTGGCTAATAGATACCGCTGCCTTCTCTATTAACACGGAAAAAAGTAAACGCGAATATATATATGTATACGTGAATTACGAAGTCCTTTGTGTGTGAATATGTATGCTTCAGTGCCTCCTTGGCAAAGCCAACGTATTATTACTGTACAAGAGAGATTTTTTACATCGTGGTCTTGCATCTTTGTAACAAATCAAGTGTCGAATATTTCCGTTCCTCGTACTGAGTATTTTTGTACTTGTATTATTTTTCGAGAAACTTTTGTAAAGTTTACGAATAATGTACAGAACGAAGCGCCTTAATTTAAAATACCTAATTTATTGTATTAGTCATGATTAGTACACTACGAAGCCGAGCAGCAAATTATATTAGAGAACGTCGTTTAAGTTCTGCATTTTGAGATAGTGAGGAACGAACGAATAAGGATTAAGTTCTCTGTGATATAGCGAAATAGCCCCAAAACAGAGATGAAAACGTTGTCGTTATTGCTCTTATTATTATTACGATTATTATTAGAATTATTACTACTATTATTATCATCCTCATCGTCATTGTTGTACCATTGTAGACAATACGCTGTCTGACATAAAACAATAAACTTGCCTAATACTATTTAAAATTCTCTGTTCTAAAAGGCATCCTTGCATGTTAGAAGATGGGATTTCAATTTATACTATAATATAATATTTCCATTTTAGTAAGAAATAATTTTAATAGTCTTAAAAGTATTTACAGTTCGCATGTAATATTTACAATTATCAGTTTTGCAGTAAAAATTAATTCTCAATATTTTTATAACTGTGCTCTTGTACAGTGTTAGTCCTATTTAGAATTATCTAGTTCATTTATTCCTTTATCACTACGATTCACTAACATCCATCTTATCCTGATCTTTTTCTCCAGAATAATATTCGTTAGCAGGTTCGACTATTTTATCAGTATCTTGTACGTTTTGTCTAGAGTCGGGATCCGGTTCTGGTCGTCTCTCTTCTTCGGGTGGCAAAGCGTCGCATGGGACGTCTTGCATTTGAACGCTCGGAGAATGTTGTATCATTTTCAAATTATCATATACATGTCTCGTAATGGCTTCTAAATATTGTTTGCTATTCGCATTATCCTGTCTGGTTACAACATCAGGATGTAACGTAAAATCTGATGCAAAGTACTCTAAATATTCGGTGTACGGCAGTTCGTTGCTGATTTGTTCGTCAACAAGTAGAGACGTTTCGTAAGTCCAGCAACGTGCAACGTTACGTAATGTGTATCCACCACCTCCTACAGTGAGCAGTGGTACATTTAAGTCTCTTACAAACTTCACACACTCGCCGTGTCCTTTTGTACTTAAACTAAAGCAACCGAGACGATCGTTTGCAAGCGAATCAGCTCCGCATTGTAAAACTATAGCTGTCGGCTGAAAAAATTCCATTACGTGCGATATAACAGGTTTGAATACCTGAACATAAGATCCATCGTCAATACCCTCTTTTAATGGTACATTAACCGAATAATATCTTCCACTTTCTGCTCCTATTTCATACATGTCTCCTGTACCAGGAAAAAAGTAATTCCCATATTTATGGAAAGATACGGTCATTACTCTATCAGTCAAGTAAAATGCTTCTTGAACTCCATCTCCATGATGAACATCTATATCTATGTAAAGAACTCTGGCATGGTATTTTAGCAGTTCTAAAATCGCAATGACAATATCGTTGATATAACAGAAACCAGAAGCCTCAAATTTCTTTGCATGATGTAGTCCTCCACTCCAATTGATGGCAATGTCACAGCAATTATTGTTCAGCTTCGTAGCTCCTTCCAAGGAAGCTCCAGTATACATAGAGCAAAAGTCAAAAAGACCTTCGAAAACAGGACAATCGTCCCCTACGTTAAAGTGACTGAGGTACTTTGTATATCCCTGTAGATTCTGCGGTGTCACTCTTTGTAGAAATTCTACATATTCGTCCGAATGGAAACGACACATGTCATGAGTGCTAGCTCTGTAAGGACGATAAATTTGCATCTTCTTGTGCAAATTGTAATTAAGCACCAGACTATGAATCACAGCAAGTCTGTGTGGCTTCATTGGGTGCCCAGGTCCATAATGAAAGTTCCCAACGTCGGGGTTGTAAAAGTATGATACTTTTTTATTGTAACTCATTTTGAGGTTAGAATATATGTTTCAAGGTGTAGAAATGTAAACATATAATATAAAAAAATGCCTTTTTTCGTCGATACATCTACAGAGCCATCGTATAGAACAAAGCATTTAGAAATCGGATTTTCTTTCTTGATTTTGTTATAAAATTAATTTCTGTTTTCTAGGCGTCAGAGTTTAACCAACATCACTCATGTGCTTCTTTTAAGTGAACGGTTCGATATCATGAAATATAACGAATTAATTTTACGTTCAATTCCCATTGAACGACACGTCGTAAACAAATAACAAAGTAATATTTCAAAATAATCGCAACAGTACAATTAGCATTCTTCGAACTTTTGCTTTGACAGTTTTTTACCGCCATCTGGAGAGATGCTTTTGACATTCTCAATGTTTAAAGAAATTTCAAAACCACTTGCTCTACAATCAATTTGTGTTTTTTTCAGAATTACATCGAATGAAAACTTTCTTAGAGTAAATATTGCAAAACTCGTTAACGGTTCTTCAAGTTGATAATGTTTTAAGAACACATTTATTTCAAACTTTGCCCAATTCTAGTTCTATTTTATTTTTTGAGATTTTTTTGTAACATTTGAAATTATATTGTATTTCTGTTCTTTATACAAAATAGTGTTTCAAACAATTTAAACTCATGTTATTCAAGTTGTTAAATTAAATTCTTTTAAGTCAGAGTTTTAGATAACGATTTTTCTGCCTTATAAAAATCGATACTACTGCGTCGAAAAATCAAATTGGAAAAGAACATTAGTCAAATATAATTGTTGTTAAGCAGACAGTGTTTTCGTAAGACGTATGCAATGATGTATTTGGTACAAGAGACATTTAATACACAGAACAATTTACATTTTATTCATGATGTTTTTAAATGGAAGCTGCGCCAAATTAATCGGATACGCCGCGGCCATTCTTGTTTGGACGCTGGCGGTTAGCAACGACGCTCTTCCAACGTACATCAAGGGATGAAGAGAATTTCTCGGATTTTTCGTTACTTACAGTACTTTAATTAGTGTCAAAGGAATCAAAGATTGCGACTGGTTTGTGTATCGAAGAAGAAACAAAATATTAAGAAGCATGCGACCGGATTCGCGTAGCGTTTCGTTTACGTTTCACCGGGACGTTCTGAGTGTCAAAAATTCACCGGAGATATCGAAAGATTCGAAAAATTTAAGACAACGCCTTCAGGATCGTTTTGAAAAAGAGAAGTCCAATGATTCGAGCAAAGAGAAAACGTTAAAGGACAAACAAACAGGCGATCGAAGCTGGAATAATATATCGCTTGGAAATATGTCAGCAGATTCTAGACGTGCTCTGCGGAGCGGAGCCGAGAAATTGTCCAAAACGATATCTTCCGTCCGCACAACATTTGGAACCATCTCGCAGGTCAGACGGAAAAACTTTCTAAATAACAAAATGTCAGATGACGATACGAAATTTTCGATTTTGTGTTAATATTCTTTTTTTTATCTGTGACTTAGAAATTCAGAAGTTCAACACGCAGGCGGCAGAGACTGGAAGAGCAGCAATCGCCAAATAGTATGTGCAAGATGCAAACTCCTCAAACACGCTCGCGTCAGCTTCTGGGACGTACGCCGACAAAGCTTTACAGTCCTTTCGGCATCGAATCACCCAGGCATGCATGGGATAAAGAGAATAAAGAAACTCCGTTACATGCGCCTACAGGAATTAACACACGTTATATTCAGTGCAGGCAATTCCGTTTTACAAGGAAAGGATTCTCCATGTTGAGATAAAAGCTTCCTATTTCTTTTTTAAGATATACAGAATGATCTCTTTACTTCCTAGCAACGCATTCGAGATTGCGTGCCTTGTGCAACTTATAATTGTCTTATTTATTCGAATTCTTATTAAGGTAGCGATTCGCACTGATATGATTATATCATAACGTATTATCTACAATATCAAGCAGTTTTGCATGTACATGTAATGTATAATGTATTTATACAATTTTATACGTATTTATATCAGTAATTATTATTGATGCAATATCAAATAAAGAAGCAGGACAAGGAAGTTAGTCGACAAAACTTTACAGGCATTTGATTTAAAAATATGTCTATTAATAGCAATTCTTTTCAAAGTTGATTTTAATCATAGACTTAAGGTCAGAATTATTTTTATATTAATCATTTTTTCTATTGTGTCATACAGGAATATCAAAAAACAAAAGAAAAGATATCAAAACTGAAATTAATACTGGTATTTTTCAGGTTTTTATTGATCTTGGAGTACAGGGTTGCATTGAATTTGTTCATTCTCTACTTTCGTGGTAATTTAATATAATTTGATATAGTTATGACAAGTAAGTCTGTTCTTCCATTAGACGTTACAAGAATGCTAAGGAAATTTCTAAAACATCTTTGTGCTTGGATTTTTACAAAATTTTATAACTTTAGTATACAATTAGAAATCATATGTGTAATTTTTATTCATAAGTTCAAAAACTCTTATCAATATCTTTATCACGGGATTTGTAGGATTACTTTTCCCCTTTAAATTACACATTGTCTTCTTTAAGATATGATTGTTGATATTTTTAACAATATTTTAATAATTAGAGTCAATAAAAAATGTATAAATATATAAATTACAATAAAAATAATACTTTCTACCAAACTGATCTAAATGTATACTGGATGTTTCAAAAATATATATAAATATCTAAAGAACCAAATTAACACACTAAAAGGAGTGAAAAAACGTCATAACGAAAATGTTAGAAATAATATCACCAATTGTACGATTATGTTATATGTAGATCTAATCTGGTTATGTATAGTCTTCTGACCCAAACCTATTTGATTTTCGCTTGCAGGGCCATTTGTAATCTATGTTATAAAACAAGCAAATAATATCAAAAATTTACGAGAAAGGATATAAGATGGATTTTGAGACTATTTTAAGGAACCCCTGATATTTTTCAGTGAGTGTGAAGTTCAATGTTGACATTGTTTGAATTATCTTGAAAATATGGAAATTGTTTCAGGAAAGCATTTCCAAGCAATTACTCTAATAATTGAATATTTTATTCTACTGAAAGTTACCGAATATTATTGATATTTCACTATTTCAATCGAGGACCTAAGATATTCCTAATCGAACCTAACCATCACGAACAACTTCAGTTAATTATAAGCTCCTCACATATAACCCAGCTGTACATACATTCGTGTATTAAATTTGTTGTTTATTTCTTTGTGTAAAATGTACGCGTGTTATCGGTTGCAAAAAGGTCGAAAGCGATCGAGTGCTTTTGTTATCCGTCATTCATCTATTAACATTACGAAACATCAGGTAGCAGTAACTTTTCGATTCACTACATAATCAGAAAGTCCAGAAGTACAATGAAATTTTTGCATTATTATTTTTGTGCATTGTCATATTCACGAATATCAAGAAACTAATTAATCGCTTACCATCCAGAAACGTAAAAACACATTGGTCTTGTAAAAGTTATTGCGCACGTGCACAGCGCCAGCGCAGCCGCGCAGAACATCATACTGATAAAATGCGCCTACGCGTCCAAAAAGCATCGTCTCGAACGTGACACGATTAACACGCGAAAATGAAAAATCGTCCGCCACGACGAAAGATGTTTTAATTATTTGTGGCATGTTTCACTTCACCGACGCACAATATGAACATTCACCAACAAAAAGAAGTTACGCAGAGCAACGTGAATCCCCAAGTAGGGTAAGTTTCTCGTTTAAGAACAATTCCTATTTATCTTTTTTTTTTTTTTTTTGAATGTATTCTCAAAAGAAATAGCGCATGGATTCCGCGACAACTTGCTTTGATTTGTTAGGCACGGAATGTAAATGTAGGTTAGAAATCGTGGTCATTGTAGCTGATTAACTCGTAACTGTTTCTATTTACATATTTTATAATAAACGTAACTGTGCCTCTATAATTTCATTCGAGTGATATCTGTTTGCTTTTATTATGTTCCGTATACTAAATCATGCTTTGAACATGAGAAAACTTTTCCGCAAATTGTCCCGTGGTTGCAATGCGCAATAGCGCAATGCAGTGTTCAACATCTGTAGAATTTGGGGGAAATTGAATTGCTAAAAAGCGATTGAAAGTAAAATAATACTTATTGGCTTGTCTGTTTTCTGTTTGAATCAGTGTTAGGCACACATTATGGGATTAATGTTTAACGAATAACGGACAATTATATATTCGTTATTTTTATTCGAACAATGTTCAACGGTGATTCCAAATAATATTATTATCATATTTAATACGTAAACAGGAAAATCGTAGTTTGCAGGAATTTCAGTGATTGATAGAGTAACCTCGTTCTGCGAAACAAAATAGGGCGTAAGAAAAGACAAACGTACACGAACCAAACAGGAATCAAAAGAGTTTTTGTTTTCTGTTTCACGAAAATTAATCACGACAAATTTCGCAAAGTTTTTTGGTGATTTCATATGCGAATAACACCGCGTGAAATACATATTGCCGTGACAAGTTTACGATATTCGCAGTTCCCAGTTGAGAGTTATTACCAAGGTACGGCTTAATTATCACAATCGATTTGCAAAAATTTCACAAATGCAGAAGGAAAATGTATATGTACACATAAAAGATGATTCTTGGAATCGAGACCAAGCGTAATACTGTTAAAGCCGAAAGATAATGTCCGTTGAGAAAGTAAGTCGAAAACGTAGAATGAAGTTTTTTCACGCTAGCCTTTATTTCCATAAAAATCGATTTTGAAAATATGTGGGGCGCGCGCTTCATTAAGTCTCTCGACTGCACGGATCTCTGCAAGTCTCTACCATGTGTATATGCAAAGTACACGTACTAGTTACAAGGTCGCATCGTTTTAGTAGTGCAACTCAAGTCTTTCGTTTTGTCATACGAAGATAATAATAGGGTAAGAACGGTAATTGCGTGATCTATTTAAGAATCGTCGGTCAGTGGAATAAAGAAGAATAATAGGGGAGAAATTGGCATAGACCCCACAATCGTGTAAACATGCACCAGAAATTTAGGCGGGATGTCCCGCCCCATGCGCAAGCCCGTTATATATTTCCGCGGTAAGAGTGGCTGTAGTGGGGGTAGCGTACCGCGAGAGGGTGCCGCGCGAGGCAGGTCAGGGCTGGGGCTCAGTACGTTTGCGTACGTCGTTCTGTTCGTTTCACGTCGTTCGGTTCCTCCGCGGTTCTTCGCTCGCTGTTACTTCGTTCCCTTGTGTGTTGGATCTCCCTCTCTGGGAGCCGCGTACAAACGTAGCAAGAGACCACATCGTCTCAGTGATAACGGAACGCGTGCTTCTCGCGATGGTGCAACGGGCTTATATAATTGTTGGCATACACTGAGAGTTGCATACGCGCGTGACACCAGCAAGTGCGTGCTGCTCTTTTCGCCGATCTTTTCCCACTGTACGGCATTTCTTTGACTGTCTCCCTCCTGCTCCGGTACGTATGTCTTGCTTTCTCCCTCGTTCTTGCTGGCTCAACCCTTCCCCTCCGTCACAGTCTCTCTTTCGCGCGTCCCCGTGCCCTCTTTTCCTCTCACTCCCTCAGTATTCTGACAGCTTGGTCGATTCACGAATCCGCCGGGCCATTCGCTTTTCCCCGGGCCTCTTCAAAATAAGGCCACAGGGTTACCCTCGTTTCCGACTTCGAAAAGTGATTTTTTTTTTTTCATCGAGTGATAAGTGCTCGTTCGAAACTACGCATTGAAGGGATTTATTTACGGGGTTGCTTTTGATAACGAAAAGAATGTAGCACGTTTTCGCGTCGCTAGTAAAACTCGCACGGTTCGTAAACAATAAACAAACGATCGCTCGAATACGTGGAAGTCCTCGTCAACGAAGCGTGCTCCCCCCTTTTTTTCGAGACTCGATGAACCTGCAGTTGAAGTTCATGGAAAAACATCAATATATTGAAAAGTAGAATCATTCGGGTCTTTTTGGGTTTCTCTTTATGTATATGTTCGAGGTAGATTTTATCAATTTACTATGAATATGTTATGCACCGTCTACTACATTTCTGTGTAAAAAGGTTATGATGAAGGCATTTGGTGTACATATATTTGCATGAACATTCAGTGCATCAAGAAATGAATCAGTACAAGTTTAATGACAGTATTAGAATAGATTCTAGTATATATTTCATACATGGCCTTTTTATTTATAGTTATTCATTCATGAAATGTAATTTTTGAGTAGTTTAGCTCTGTTCTGTGACTTCTCTAAGCGAAGCATTACATCCTTTCGCTAAAATTGGATTCTGATTGGTTTGATTTAGTTTGTTTTACTTATGGCTACTTGCTGGTTCTGTTTTGTCCTTACTTGCCTTTGTTTGTTTGTTTCTGACACACAGGTCTGGCATCATATACATATATGTATATATGCAGATTTATTTTCTATTTATTTTAAATTGCTTAAGAAAACGAGAGCATTCAAAAGTATAGATCAAGCAACGATTATGGCATCATACGGGGAAGACGTAGTAATGATTTTGTTTATATTTTTTGTATTTGCTGACCCCATCTATGGTTTCGCTGGGATATATCAGTTGGAGTACGCAGCAGTCACAGCCACAGAACTCTCAACCATTAGAAACCGATCGACAGCAGAATCAAATTGCAATCCAAAAAGTGGAACAAAATTCTGCAGAACTTTCCAAAATGACGGATCAACGAGAACAGCAATCTCAGCAACAGCAGCAACAACCACAACATCAGCAACAGCATATTAAATGCGAAGAACCGAGGACAAATCTGATCATCAATTATCTTCCACAGAGTATGACAGAGAAGGATTTGTATAGTCTGTTTGTAACCATTGGACCTGTGGAATCTTGTCGTGTCATGAAAGATTATAAAGTTAGTTTCATTTATGGAAACCAGAATCCTGTTATTCGTCTTAAATTTTGTTTTTTGTCAATCGTATGCATGCAAATAACTTGTATTATCTTTTTCCTATACAGACCGGATATAGTTACGGTTTTGGATTTGTTAATTATGCAAAAGCTGAAGATGCAGCCACAGCTATAAACACTTTAAATGGACTACAGGTCCAGAACAAAAGGCTAAAAGTATCTTTTGCACGACCATCGGGAGAAGAGATCAAAGAAACTAATCTTTATGTTACAAATTTGCCAAGGTAATTTACATAGGACTATAATGCCGAAGTAAATTATTGAAAATACTAATGGGCAAATTGTCGATAGTAACCTAAACATTGTCTTTATTTCAGAAATATAACTGAGAGTCAAATTGACGACATATTTAGCAAATATGGAAATATCGTACAGAAAAATATTTTAAAAGACAAACTTACTGGATTACCTCGGGGTGTGGCATTTGTCAGGTATGACATCACTTTCTAATAGTTCCACTTAGCATCGTAGAGCAAACTGTTGCGCTAATGAAAAGTATAGTTCTTACTTCTTGGCGAAATGCCATTGTTGTCATAATTGGTAACATAATATGACAGGCCTGGCAGTAACGTACGATGACAGAAGATCCTACAGAAAATGATTAGTTTTGTTTAATTGTTGCCATTGGATAATTATACTTCTTGTACGTACAACCTAATAACATGCTTTTGGGAAATTCGAACACGTTTGAAACTATCAAAACAGCTGTTCCTAGCAGCAGAAATTGCCTTGTCATTATGCAACGCGTATCCGCTGCGGATAATATCGTACGGGTATTTATTTTCTGAGATCTTTGCTGCCAAATTATTTTTGCCTGGCTCTGCCGCGTTTGACTTGCATAATTTCGATTTTACCCCACTTCACGACCAACGACCTACTTAGCTACTTAAAACACGAATTGTGTGTAGCACTAGTTGTAGTTGTAGGAAATAGTACGAAAAGTGTGTCAACCAACTGGAAATAGAATCGAAACTGGTTTGACAATTTCTCTTAATTTTGGCAGATTTTATGGATCCGTAACGAGCTCTCTTCTATCACGCTCTAGATCGTTCTTGATAAATCGTGTATTGGACCTAGATTTGGCAAAGGATCGCGTTAATCTTTGCCAACGAATTGTTTTCTGGATTTCAAGTTTTCGTAACAATCCGTGTTTTTCATAGATTCGATAAGCGAGAGGAAGCACAAGAAGCAATTGCACGGCTACATGGTACGATACCAGAAGGTGGATCGGAGCCACTTAGTGTAAAAATCGCGGAGGAACACGGAAAACAGAAGGCGGCGTACTACGCGGGCTGGCAAGCTGGGTACAACCAGAGTCGAGGTAAGTAGTTTTAATTGCCATTGATAGACTACTAGTCTTGCCCGTATCTCTTTTCTCTTCAGCCTGGCAGTAAAAATTGTCACTTCAAAGCACAGTAAAACTGTTAAATGGATTTACTTTGGCAAACAAGTCAAGTTTTACTGCTTGAAAGGATCAAATTAATATCTGTGTTTTTATTTATTGTTTAGCATAAATAGCTCTCAAAATGTATGTAGATTAAGTTTAAAATATGATGAGAGGATTTTTAATTGAAAAGCGATTGAAGTTCAACCGTAACTAAATGTTTCGTAGTACCAAAAGGTATAAAAATTTGTACGAAGTACATTTTTACTGACAGGTGAGACTTGCATTTTGGCTTTCTTCTGAATCTTTCTTACTAAAGTCGCAGTAAACCATTGCGTTTCATTATTGCCATTGTTGGAATCGTACGTAGAAGCACCAATACTTGAAAGAGACATTTTTCCAATAACGCATCCTCTTCTATTCTCTCTCCACCTCTCCTACGGCTCATCATTCTGAATCGTGTCGTGTTAGTTTTCTTCATTCCTTTCTTTTCTTCGATGATCCGCGTGCAATTGAAACAGGTAGTGGTCATTTGGATGAATTCTGTAACGTAGTTGCAAGGTGTAAAAAAAAAAATTTTATATTTTTTGCACGCGTTGTTAAAGATACGGACGATCTTTCAGCTTGAATTCCGTCACACCGTTATATTCTGAATTTAACGGTGTGAAAGAAGTTGAGCATTGGAAGACCCTTTGCATCGTTGACAGCACGTCGAAAGTTTGAAAATATGTCTAATATTTGAATTGTTTGCCAGATATGGCTGCATCTAAATCAAAGTACAGCGAAGATTGAAAAAGCTGTGTGCGTTCTAATGCGCGCAACGTTATGCAGCACTTTTCTGCGAATATTGTGGAGACACGTTTCTTTTCGCGCCTATTTTGTTTCTCTGTGTTCTCTCTGTTTTGTTACAAGTTTTTGAAGTTGTGCGCATGAGATTATTTCACACGTGAGAGGGAAGACTCTGGCAGTGATTGATCTGAACAAGATTTCCTTGCAGACGGACACGAAAGAAAGCAAACATAGTGCTGCTGTGATAGAAATGTTTTTGTGTGTGATGATTTTTTTGGTGGACGAACAAGAGACTAAAAGAAAGAATGGTCGTATCCTGTGCTAGTCAGTGGCAGCTTGTGGTTTAAAAGAAATGAGAGAAACACTTGCTGAGTTGTATTCTGCACACAAGGCTGGTTTAGAAGTTTGTTTTTGGACGATGCCTGGGTCAACGAAGTTGCAACTCTGTTGTTCTAGTTGCTACCGCTGCTGCTGCTGTTACCATGTTCATTTTGCCTAATCGTTTCTCAAATTTGTTAAAGCTACGCTGTGGAGTATCATTCTAGTTCTATTTTTTGTCAGGAATTATGTATAACTTACATCTTTAAGCTGTTTGTACTTTTTTCTTTTTTTGGTAAGACATATCTCGTACTATATATATATGTATATACACACATATACATATATATGTTTTGTTACGTATCATTTGAGACTTTGGAAATACATTTTCTGTTCAAGAAAAAATTTGTTACTGCCCCTTTCATCATCCTCCAACAAATATGCGTGCGAATTACTTTTTTTTTTTTTTTTTCTCTCCTGATTAAAAACATTTAGAGGTAAAGGTTTTCTTATTTTTCTTATCTAATTCTAAACATGTTGCGACTGATTAACGCCTGTAGTTTTTATGTTGAAAGGAAAACATTTTCTGTCTGTGTGTTCTCAGTAGGATTTTCTGTAACACAATGTTTTGCGAATTGTTTATATACTGCTCAAAGTAATCAACAGTAACCGCGTAGAAAGCATCGATTATCGTCAAATCGCCGGAAGTGGAGTTGTACTGGGCATGGTCGGTGCACTATTAGCAAATTGTTGTTTCGAAGCTTACTTATAATTCTAGGACTCTGATCAATATCAGTAAGGAATCTGATACTTGAAAAACTTTTCTACGCCATGTATGTTAGATAAAAAAAAGGATATTGAACTGTGATCCTCCTAGTAGTTTGAGCAGTACATAAAATTCGTAGCTCGCCTGAAACACATTGTTGTATGCCTGCGAATAATTACTCTTTAGCGAGCGTCGTTGCTAATTCATGGTTAGATCTGGACATGTTGCATTTGCAAAAACGTGTGGCTTTAACAGAAAATTTGTTCAATGCATGGCTATGTCCAGTATCAAGCGATTATCATGCATAGTATGGGACAAATGTATTTGGAACTCTTCTTTATGGTTTGTCAGTTCAGTCGTTAGCGATGTAGATAAATATTGTCCATGTATTTTAATATAAGTACTAAGAGAAATTGAGATAAGACACTGAGAAAAACCAGACTCTATAAGAGAACAACAATCAGAACACTTAGGACACACAACAAATCTAAAACTTCATTAGAGAAATAGAATAAGCGATCGTAGTTATTTCCAATGTAAAATCTTAATCTAAAACACAGAGAACGTTGAACACCGTAAAAAAAAAAAATTGTAAAGTCTACGTCGGTCACTTGAAGTTTACCAAATTTTGTTAATTATCGTGTCACGTTTGTTGGCAATTCCTTCGTTAAGTATTGTCCAATGCGACAGTAAAAAAAAACTGTTCGATTGCATTTGTCCACTACTGTACACGTACTTACTCTAAGTGTTTAGAATAATTCTTTAACATGCCGTTTTCATTTCTATGCTCGCCAATCCACGAAGGAGAACGTCTGTATTCGACCAGGAATAAATACCAGCGTTATGCGCATTACCTTTACTAAACGAAGAACACGTTCTTGTTCGGTTGTCGTTCGTTGTTACCCCTTGCAGTTATGACCGCAAAATTCTCCCCACTAGTGTGACGATGATACTGGCATGATTAGAAGTGAAACGCCTAAGAGCGACTCTTGGCGATAACGAGGCGAGTGTTTCCTTTCGAACGAGTTTTTCGGGGATCTCGGACGAACGTTCGTTTTTTCTATTGGCTTTTGTATCGATACAGCCTCCGGCGGTGATACGGAGGACGTCCGTTGATACGCGATAAATACGCGTACAGTTCCTGAGGCTTTAACTTAACTTTTAACACGCTGGTCCGATACACGATCGCCGAATTACTCGGTTGTCTCGAGGATGCATATTGATCCGTAATACGAAAATAACGACACAATTTGCTCAACGATTGTAAACGAATCGACTCGCGGCGACTACCTTTGTAACCATTCGAGAGCAATCTCCGTTTTTCTGGTACGCGTTGCGATTAGACGCTCGTTTCGAAGTCTCTCCCTCGAAGCAGAGAGGCATCTTTCAACGGAGTTTTACAACGTTTAGGAGATTCATCGAACTAAGCCCATAGGGGGTTGGCGGTTTAACGCGTTGACCCGCAAACGGCGGACAACCACCTATTTTGGATAGGCCATTGTTTTGGCCGTAGGTGGTCCAGATTATCCAAAAGCTCAATTTCAGTGTCGAACAAAGTCGAAGCCCTTGGGTCAGCATGTTTGATATTGCGTGGCCGATCGACGCGCGTTAAGAAAAGTTGCACGTTTCATTTGTCGTAGGAAGATTAGCATTTTGAACCTAGCACGTTTCGATTTTGGCTACGAGAGAACACCGCGTTAAGTATTTTTAAGGAAAACGTTTCTTTCAAATGGCATAAGTATGTTTATTAATTTAGATATAACTGGAATAAACCATAAATTAATCAACGATATCGGTATAGAATTGAATATGTTCTTTTGGGATAAGTCCCTTTCTCGATATTCCTAATAAACCTTTGTTTATGAAAGTTCAGTATTTACAATTCCATTGAAACAATTTAAACGGAATTTTTAATTTAACAGATAAATAGAATTTCTAGTTTTAATAAAATTTGTAAGACAGAAATATTAAAATTGTTATGTTTGTAAACCATATTATTGTACAATGGTGTCCCACGATGCTGTACACCAGGTGATTCCGTATAAAAAGTCAACGTTTAAAATATATACATACAGTAATAAATGAATCGCGCGGTGGAGCATTTGCATTCCAAATTCGATAAAAAAAATATTCCACGACTGAAGTATTATACCCATCTAGCTCTAGTTTTTCACGTTCTCGCGCAGTTCCATCGAGAATCAAAATATTCAATAAGATATAACTCGAAAAAGTCAAGTGATACCGTAGTCTAATTCAGTAGAACTATCTAGCTTGCGTAATTCCAACATTTATCATTTAATTAAAAAAAAAAAAGTAGCATTCCGGTTTCTCGCGCTGGACCACGATATTAACTCTTTGCACTCGAATATTACCAGCAACTCGAAGCAATTTTAGTGAAAAGATCATATTTAAAGAAAAGTCATCGTTGTATGTTATTATTTTTTAAATTAATCATGGATACAAATGTTATATATAAAAAAACAAAAAATTATCATTTTTTTTTATTATTATTTGTCTTTGCCCTTATGTTATGAACTGAAAATTATTTGCATTGTCTTCATAGCCCTCGAGTTTTAAGCCCTCGAATGCAAAGGGTTAATCGAGTCTCTTCATCGACAAAGTTCCCAAAGGTATCGAACAACTTTAAACGCGAATAACAAAGAATATCGAGTTTCTAATCTTACAAATCCACTCTTCAGGCAAACACGAAGTATGCTATTTTTCTTAACGCGCTTCGTAACGATCGTTGCGCGTGTTCGAACTGATTCCTAGAGACGCGACGCGTCAAGGATGCCGCGTCTTTTAGATAGATCGATTAAGGTGTTCCCCGGATTTACAGAGATTTTAAATAACTAGAACCCCTGTACACGTTCTGGACGAGCTCTTCCGCAAACGTTGCACAATTTTTACGACTATCCGCGCTGGTCGATAGCCCGTTCGCCGTGTCCGTCGAACGATAACAGCCGGACATTGTAGATAGCGAAAGTATTTACAGACGTTTCACGATACACGTCCTCTCGACGCGTTCTCCTCGCGACGTCTTTCACGATTTTTCTCAACGATGTTTGTCGTCTTAACACTTTGACGGCCGCTGTCACGTATACGTGACTTCGAGAGCCAGCAGACTTTGGCCACTGTCACGCGCGCGTGATCTACCGTATCGGTTACCATTTCATCGTACATTCAACTTGTTACGTTTGTTGAGATTGCATTTATAATTCCTTATAATAATATTCCTAGCACTTTGGTGTACAATATCAGCCAATATCGGCCGTTAAAGTGTTAACAACCTTTCGCCGGACAGTCCGGTGCAGGGAAAAATCGCGATCGACCATCGAGGACGATGGTGATTGTTCCGTATGTTAACGATCTTCGCTGTTACTAACTTTCGTCCTTTTATTCCTAATAAATATACGTATCGATCGAAGCGTTCCCGGAGTAGGGTGGATCCTGATTAGATAGAGAAACGTATCTCCTACGTCCCTGACAATCGTTCCTTTTTTTAATCGACTTTTCGCGGTTATTGCGCGCACCTACCTTATCGTGGTTGAAACGATTACGACGATTCGACGTGTCCATTTCGACGTTGTTAAGTAAATCCTGGTAGGAGGTACGATGCATCCACCTCGCTCGTGTATTAATGTATGCGTTCAGGTGCTCGATACGATTACGAACGGGGATGCACGACCCCCTCGCAGCCGTTCGAAGCGTGTAGCACACCACCTACTTGGCCAGAGTTCGAATCCTTCCTAACGCTGAATAAAAACTGAAAGATCGAACGATTCATTCTCGAGAGTTCGATCTTTATTATACACACTTTTTGAAAGCAAGAACGATATTGAAAATATTGCCATAGAGATGTCAGCGAGTCGAGGAACGTCGGGGTCGTGCGTTCCCGGATTTTACGTAAAAGTTTGAACCTTAGAAAACCGAATCTCCATTAGGAATTTAATATTGCAAATGCGCTGGTATTTGAGCCGTTACCGCTCGACGATCGAGCTGTGCACACGTACGCAACTTATCGTCAAAGAATCCCATTCGATTAAAAAAAAAATTAATAAACGGAGGTGCACGTGAAATAAAATCGCTGCGGTAGAATAAGGAATGATGAAAACGGTGGCTGGATATTATATTAACGTTCGAGAATTTAATTAGCGTTTAAGTTAGAAGAATTACGATTAAGATTTTCAAGCATTCCTTCAGAATATATTGTATTCGTGCTACGAGGCGACTCGCGTCGTTCTTTCTATAAAAATAAAACTCGAGTAGTTCATTGTTATGGAGAAAAGAGAAAAGAAAATAAGCGAAACTGTTGTCTCTTTGTTACGAATGAAATTCGTTTTCAGTTTCGTTACCGCGCGAAAGAACAACGCGAGCTTTTTTAGCATCAAAGCTGAGACACGCACTGTAAATAAGCCGAAAGTTTCTAATTTTAACGTTAAGTAGTAAATTGTAAGGTTTAACGGATCGAAGTTTGTGCGAAATGGTTAATCCCGAAGTCCAGTAGTGCTAACGATGGCTGTGATACGGATAAGGAAATAACTAAACGAGAGAATGAATAAAAAAAAAAAATGAAAACAAAAAAAAATATCATGCGAATAAGACGGGAGAGTCCGCGACAAGGATGAAACGAAGATAATTTGCGACGCTTCTCTCTTCCTCGCTCTCTCACACTCTCACAGATAGGGTAGAAAATTCGCCTAATTTTTATACGACGTTTCTCTGTATATTTAGTGATACAAATTATGTCGAATCCGATGGACACAAAAAAAAAAAAGGAAAAAAAGAAAATACTCGGGAAGAAGAATGTCGTGCAGTGTTTTTCATCATTGTTTCACGAAAATGTTTCACGAGAGCGATGAAATTTGAGAGACGGAGAACGATATCCTCTTGATGGTGAGGAGAGAGTGACACTAGGTCTCGGTTGAAAATGCCTGTGACATTCCCAATAATACATTCATCGTATTTTTCTCTTCTTCGTAAAATGAAAATCGATAAAATAAATATCTGAATAGAAAAATGATTCTACGATCAACGTCTTATTGTAAATCGATCTCAAGTTGACGAGAACTAGACCCGGTTACGTAATTCGCGTTTGTCGTTGATACGCGGAGTGAACCGGAAGTCGTGGTATCGACAACCGGGAAGGGATTGATTCCTCTTACGAAGTTTTATTTTATTTTTTTAGAGAAAAATGACGAGCAAACGATCTATGGTTTTTTTTAAGGTCTCTAAATTTCTAAATTATCCAAATTTCTGCATCGATCGGATGTCCATACATCTCTAGATACATCCGTCGAGTTGAATTTCAATTAAGTTGTTTTACAACTTTACGAATATTTTGCACTTTCAATTATCCCCGCACGGATCATCCAGCTTTGTTGTTCCACGATTTCCCAATCACCCCTGTATAGTTATAAAACACACGCACACACGTACACGTACCACACACAGAACACCGTTACATCGATATTAGAGAAATACGACTATGTACACGATATATGATAGTACTAACCGGCAACGCATAATTTGTTGTACGAATATTTGTATTTAACTGTGTTGAACACTTTATCGCGAGGCAATCGCATCGAATGACTTGACGCATCTTGTTAACTTTTGTGCTGATGATTTTTCACGCGACTCTGTCCCGATAATACTTGTGTGTTCCGACGTGTTTTGGCCGTTGTACTCGACGCCCGCGAAGCTTTTAAACCTTTGCACTGAAAGGTTCCTGTCTCTTCAGCGGAGTCTTAGCTTTTTCTCACTTCATTGACTTGAATACGGAATGTTCGGATAGGTTTAAAGATAGGACGGTAAAGTAACAAAGATAATGTCCCGGTAATCAGGTGCATTAATAATTCTTTAAGTGTGCTGGTCGAATCTTTATATTATTATTAGCTTATTTTGTCATCTGCATGGTGAAAATAGTGATCCCTGTGCAAAGGGTTAAAGGTTTTCCTCTGGTCACCAAACGAGCAGCACCGTGGTGCCACGATTAGCCAAGAAATGCATCAGCTTCCTCGATCACCGGGCATAGAAGAGGGGCGCTAGATCACCGCCGGCCGCAGAAAATCGTCAGGACAAAACGCAGTTCGAGAAAGAAAGAGAGTAACCGGCGTGTCTCGACACTCGTTCTTTCAAAACTCCTACATAAGTATCTTATACCTTTCTTATCCTTGTTGCTACTGGTCACACGAGTCCGCGTGATTCTGTAGTCTGTCGTTAAATTTGATTAAAACATTAGAAACTGAAAGCCAGCTGTCCAGTTTATTCAAACCATCATCCTCTCCGACTTTTATCTCTGTCAAGCTATCCACATACATATCTTTTTTCTCGCTAAGCGTGCAGCCGAGGGGAACCCTTTCCACTGACTTTGAGGAACTTTTTCAGGTGGCGGCGGCGGCGGCGGCGGCGGCGTGAGCGGCGGAGGACGCGGCAGAGGCATCGGTGGTCCACCAGGAATGGGCATGGGCATTAGCGGAGGCGGTGGCCCCGGGATGATAGGCAGAACCGGTGGATTCGGGCCACGTGGCGGACCACACGGTGGCTTTCTAGGCGGTAGCGGCGGTCCAGGTGCCATGAGAATGGAGAAGATCCACCCGCACCGTTTCAACCCCATAGGCATGGGAGGCGGTTACGTCCAGTCGCATTTCTGGTGACCTAGCGTCGACCATTTGGTGACCAAGACAGCATCGGCTACGTACCTTTCTTCGTTTCACCGAAGACAAACCAACGGCGACTGTCGTTCGTAACTGATGAACGTTCCCTCAAGCGATCGTGAAGTCATATTCGGCGTTATCCAGACCAGACGACCGATCAGGCGGACGCCGAGCTGGGATCGGAGAGTTTTCTCTGTACACAGGGTCCACGACATCGAGCGGCCGATGTCGTCAGAGACGATCGCTCGATGTTCAATTCACGAACGATGGGGACAGACTGATTTATGGAAGTGTAAATTATTCTGCACGCTCTACGATGCATAGTATTTAATGATGTTTCTACGTGCCTGTACCAAAGCTCGCAACAACTAGTATTGCGCGTCCAGTGATGGGCACTCAATTCCTTCTCCGGCTGTTATCGCTTCGAATGTTGTTTAAACCGGGGCCAAAGAGCCTCGTAGGAAGTTCGGAAAGGCGCTTCGAAAGTTTTGAAACATTGAGTTTCTTAGGAACACTAGGCAAGTCTATGTTACATTTATCTTCATTAGTCAGTAAAAGGTTCTAGCGATTCTATCATTTTAATTGCAACCTTTCCTACTATTCGTGAGACTTTTATGAATCAAACAGGATGGTTGGGTTACTCGATAACCGGGGCAAGGAATCTTAACCGTTTGTGTGCCAGGGATTATTTAAAGAAACCGCGTCGACTTTTGTTTCTTACTGATAATAACATTAACGATATTGGAAGCTCAAATTTAATTTGTGCAAAATGTTACGAAGGTCTTTGCGCGTCATTTGGTAACACGAACGTTAGAGAAATGTAGGATTTTTCAATTTTTTATTTTATTTTTTAATTTCCTGACGAGCATGCCAATTGCTCTTTTGTAACTTAATACTCTAGAACAATGTTGGAAGACGGTATGGAGGTGAAGAAAGGTTGTATCGAATTGATATTTTTAATAACAAAATTTAGAATATATTTAAACTATTTACAAGATGAACTGGTCTTGGATCAAAAAGATGACAAATGATTTATTGCTTGTTGGAACACATGTTCGGGAACTTATATTTATTGGGGGCGCAAATTTTAGTATTATTTAAAATAATCCTAACGATGACGATCGCGCGTCAGTCGAGTCTATTCTGTACGGGCTGGTACTCAAATGGTTAAGATTTGAAAATCTAGAAACATTGGCGTTCTTTAAAAGCCACTGACGCGATAGAAATACAAAATAGTATAGAAATACCAAGTCTGTATTATAAATATCATTACTGTAAGTTACTACATGTTTTCTCTGTGGTTCAGTCACTTGTTAATGTAAGTTCTATCTACGCTTGAAGGACTCGAGCGTTTCAAGACTTTTAAAAATACTTTTCAACGCGAGTCAGTTCAGTCCGTGATCTCAAAATTTTTACAGCCAATTCCCAATGACGTTCGAAGAGATCGAACCGCGTGTCTTGAAGCCCATCACTACCATCTCCACGTCGCTTTTTATCGTTAACAAGTTCAACTCCCTCGTCTAGCTTTAATATCTCCGTTCCATTCTGCGTTAAATTAGTGGCGCGTTCAATCGCGCCAAATTGATAATGCTCGTCGAGTAATCTTAAGGTACAAAACTCTTGGTCTCCGAGCCGCCCTTTAGGTCGAACATAGTCAGGCCTCGGTGGCGAAGTTACAACGCGCTAAATTAGGTCCCGTCGTACCGCATCCACAAGATCGTTGTATGGATTCTCTTTGAAATTCTATTTTTCTGACTGTTGATCCGGGCACACACGATGCGAGTCGAACGTTTCTGTCCTGCGTAACGTTAACCCCTTAAAGTGCAGAGCGCAACATACAGTGCGATTGTAAAATTATAAGCCAGTTTTAAATACACCGTATGTTGCGCTTCTAACGTATAGAATGAAAATAATTCGGTGTTTACAATTATATAAACGTAATAATAAGCGTTTCAATACATGCAACAAACTTGTTCAGCATCAAAGTAACACAGGTAAGGGGTTAAAGAAGACTACTCTGCATTGTAAAATATACTGCTGGCCAAAAGTTGGAGACCAGGTTATAATAGGTTTATATTTCATGGTACTTTTATTATGGGGTACGGGTAAAATACTTATTAAAAAAAACTATTATCTCAAACAGTTTCTAAATTTATTATCAGGCCTGATCAAGATTTTCTTGAAATTGAACCTATTAGAACATATTGGAAGCATCCGAAGCGAATTTTCTTTTCCTTGTATGTGCTGATTAGTATTTATTAGGTATGTTCGAATACTTGAATCTTATGTCGCGGATGGGTAATTTTAGCTGCGAGTTTTATAGAGCATTATTTACTGAAAACCCTGATAACATTAACTGCTGAACGTTGGCATCGTGCAACTTCCTGTTAACAACTTGATCCATCATTTTCAACAATAACGAGCGTATCAGGATATGCGAAATGTTCCTATGTCGTCATCAATTTCGCGCAGTGTAACTTACTGTAATAATAGGTGATTAAGAATACGTCTGACCAAAGTACCTGGTACAACGTTAAGTTGCCATTGTATGACGTATCGAATGATCACCATCGACGTAAACAGCGGTTTAATATTTTTGTTAACGGGTCGAATGGTCTGACGCTTTTGGCCTGCAGTGCGTGGGCGTGTGTGTGTGTCACGTACACGGAGTAGTTTAATTCTAAATATGAATATCCGTGGAACGGTTTTCCTGGTTTTTGATCAGCTTCTTCACGATCGCTCGAGCAGCGCGACCGGCTCCTGATTGTGGAACGAAACAAAAGACGTCGAAGCCTCGAAGTTCGTGTTCTGTGAGAGTTGAGCGTTTTAATTGGGAGAGAGAGAGAGAGAGAGAGGGGGCACGTTGAGAGCAAGAGCCGAAAGTTCTACGTGTTGTTGTACATTTCCTTTTTAATGGTTCTAACTTGAAACTTTATCGAATGTTTAACGTTAAGCGTGAGATTGAGAGAATGAGAGAGAGAATTTTATTGGAGTCAGCGTACGAGGATACTGTGTTTCCAGCGTTTCGAACGGCAACGGGCATCGATGGTCGCGAAAATTATTAAGTTAAAAATTAAAATAGAATAGACATAGTGGGTCTCGAACGATATTGATTACACAGAGTATTCCCCGCAACTGGGGGAAAACTGTCACCAAAACGATCGTATGTTAGTAAAAATGTCGTGAGAAAATGAAACATCGTCGAAAGGTATAGAATCTGAACATAATTTTATTGAACTCTATTATTTTGGTGAAGCTTAATTTCTCTCAAAAAGAAGTAAGTTCAAAGGTTTTAAATGCATCGAAACATAAAAGAGCATAAAACTATGTCCAGATTGTGCATCGTTTGATACCGTTAAATTTCTCCTCGTGACATTTCGATCTATCTCGGATCGTTTTAAAGATATAGCTTCTCTTTTCGATCGTCATCGGTGTACTTAAAAAAAAATTGAAACGTTACCAAGCGCCATCGTTGTCCGCGTGGCCGTTATTTGTATATAAATCTCAATGGAAATACGCAATCATCGCGGCACGTCGTAGAAAAATGAGACTGACTTTTTATAGGGGACAAATTTTATGCGAACACACGCTGCCCCGTGTATAATCGGGAGTTGTATTTATCGTACTTTTTAAAACTAAAAAGAAAGGATATCGAAATTGCCTTATTATTATTATTATTAATATTAATAATTATATATACATATATTACACCGTGAGGCTGCGAAGCTAAACAATTTCATTTTATTAAATTAATTGATTCGTAATCGCGTTCACCGCGGGCGTAGCAAAATGATGTATCGTTCCGCTTTAAATCCCTCGACGACGGAAAACTCTTGAGATCGCGCGCGTCCAGCGATCCCCGATTCTATTGTGCGATTCTATTCTATTGACGAAGCATCGTTCGAATTTTCTTAATCGGTATGAATGATTGCGAAGGTGTGTTCGTGTTTTACCATCATTCGCGATAATACGTTCGAGCCGAACGAATCCCTGCGCTGTATTGATTCATTTTCTTTTTTTTTTTCACTAATCTCCTTTGTTAACATCATTCTTCGTATGGTCACACCCGATAAGTCTAGTTATATAAGATCTAATTATTTAAGACGAAATAAATATCTGCAAACGGAGCATACTTTGTTTGATACGCGTTTGATTTATCGATAGGTATATGCGATCTACCGAGTTGTCGCGCGGCGAGAATATTGTATAAGAAAGACAGTATTTTATGAGATTATTTATTGTAGCCGCGGCGAGAAACGGCTCGCCCCCTGTTCTTTGTTTGTACAAAACGGTGTCGCGAGCCTTGACGGTACAGCGTGCAGGTCCATCGATGCGATCCACCGGATACAGTGTTGCCCTTCAAAAGGCAGCTTGCATCGAATAGTAAGCAAAGTGCCCGATGACGAGCCGCAACGTAGCCGGTGGATGAACGTTTCTGTCGCTTCGTTTCATGTCCGAACAGTTGCGAGACTCCGTCCATGATCCGTGGTCCGTACGATCACTGTCCAATTGTCAGACCACTCACGTCCCAAACTCGTATTCCTTGACCACGGCACCAACTCACACTCGAAACTTTTACCGTCGAAGACTAGACAATAGGATAGGATACGACACAGACCCCGCGAAGAACGATTTTCATTTGAGAATTCTTCGGCTTTGTACAGAAACTTTATAACGGCGCGATTTCTCCACCCACAGGATGCTGCGGTCTAGAGATTAGCCAGCGACTCGCGAAGAGGAAACAGGAAGGGGCGGATAGCTGCTGCACGAACCGAGATATCACCTTGGTAGATTTAGGTTTAAGGATGACGACCGCTGATAGGGAAAACCTAAGAACGCTTCCTTCTTCAAGAATGTCGGGCTAAAGTCTTCGAAAGGTAAACCAAGAATACCTTCCTTCGATCCTCCGATCATCAGACTCGGATATAGCATCCTCCAAGGCTTCCCTAGAGGCCTATAAAATATTCATAGAACATCCTAAAATCTAATTTTGGGGTATTCCTGTCGCTAAAACTGGAACAATAATCTGTGCAATTCGGTTGCACTGGAAATATTCTTTGCAATTTACTTTTGGATATGGGATATTTGTGGACATTCTGACACCAAAAGCGGATCAAATTTATTACTGTGTAAAAGGTATGATGAAATCATTTAAGATGCCCTGGAGTAGTTCAGATTCATAAAACATATTTTTTGAAGGTCAATAAAAGGCAAACCTAATCATTTTTTGAAATTTCTATGATCCTTCTAAATTATGCTCGAAGCAATAAGTTTTCTGACTCTACTTCAGCGTAAAATAAATACTGATATTGTCTGCTACTGTACAGAATGTCGATCGAAGTGACCTAGAGTAACCCGAGCTTGTAAAACATGCTTTGACGCGTGAAACGTTTAAGGGTCAGTCAGAGAGAGTCGGTGGTCTCTCTTGACACGGTTACAGAGAACTTTTCTGGTTCGTTAGCTACGATCGCCCTCATCCCTTGACCTGCTCGAGTGTTTTTCAGCCCCTCTTTCTTGTCTCATTCTCCCCAGCCTCGTGGAAAGCTGCCATCGAAATTCCCCTTAGAAATGCAGCGCGGTTGGCGTCGAGCGTAACACGAACATCTGCTGCACGCATGGTAACAAGGATGCCTTTCGATTTCATAAAATGTTTTATATCCGTTGCAGCGTCCTTTGAAAGAAAACTGTGGAAGGTTCGAACGAACGCTATAGATTTACATTTATAATCATTTCATTTTTTACTAATAAATAGTGTCAGCCTGTGATCTTTAGCATAATTATTTAATAAGAAAATTTGGAAAATTTGAAACTCATTCTATTTTATATTATTTCATAGTGGAATATATGCAACAGTTTACTCAAATAATAATAATTAATAAGATGAATCGGTGGTTCTGAAACACTTCATTCCCGTAATTGTAATTTTCATTTAACGAGCAATTGACAAATAATTATCGTCTTTTACTCGTTACGAATTTTACTTTCTACGATAAATTAAGGAGAGTATATAAAAAATTGATTATTTGACTCGAAAGTAATATAAAATTTTTAATTTTCAATATTTGCACGATTCTATTTAGCCCAACCATAGTCACATCCATACTGAATCAGATTTTTTTCGTTTTTTAATTTCAGATGGACGGAACAACCGGGATCGTGGACACGGTGCAGACATTTTGTTTAAAGCCTTCACTAGATTCATTGTAATTCATAGTTTTCAATATTTTTGTATAAAAAGTATTGTGGATGCTCTTGAAATATAGAGCTACATGTATTCAAATTAAATGAAAAAAATGACCCCTCTTTAACAATAGTTTTAAACAAATTGCGGTTTAGACAGGAATATCAAAATGTCCTCTTAAAGATTTTAATAACTACGAAGAATGTTTTTGCAGAATAATAAATAAATAGGAATACCGTCCATTAGAACGAGAATCGAAATCTACACAAAGAATCCTTTTACTAGTGAACAGTAAACAACAGTATAGTGTAAACTTCGGAATCGTCGACTCCTCTGTTTGCAGGGCGTAACGTTTGATCGCTCGATCGTATTCCACGCGAGATCTTTAAAATGTATTCGGCCGTCTCGCGCGCAGAGGACCACCTGGTATTTTTTTGTCAAGCCCCGATAAGAGTCTTTCAGCTGCCTCGAAGTTACGAATAAATGAATGACAATGGAAGAAACACTGCGACACATTTTTTTTTAAGAACGATCGAAGTAAGAATACAACACGAACCGCTGCATGGTTCCATGCATGGTGATTTTTGTACAATATTGCAGGTAAACCCGAAGATCTAATAAGAAGAACCACAATAACAACTTGAACATGTTCTCTTTTTTCAGATCCGCTACCACAGATAACAGGAAACCTACTCTCTTTGTAGTTTTAAAGAATTCATCATGGATAATGTAACAGGACCGATATATGTATAACAAAATCATTTCACAATTGATATGGAACATAGTATCGTGACCGTAACCGGTATAAGCTGGAACCTTCTTCGTTCATAACTATTGTAACATCGTTACAAAAGATTAATATGACTTGCTAAAGAATTAATTTGGAGTGATCTATCAAAAATGTGGCCGTTTGAAATTTTTATCTACTACTCTATAAAGGGTGTTCGGCCACCCCTGGGAAAAATTTTAATGGGAGATTCTAAAGGCCAAAATAAGACGAAAATCAAGAATACCTATTTGTTGATGTAGGCTTCCTTAAAAAGTTATTAACAATTAAATTCAAAAATTTCAAATCGTTCTGGAAAAATTATTTTCGGTTCCGGGGGTCAATTATAATCATTCTTGGTGAATAGACATACCCCCGAAATCCTGCGCATTTTCGAGAAAAAAATTTCTTACTGAAATTAGGTGCCTAAATTTTTCGACGAAAAAAAAAATTTCAAATCGTTCTGAAAAAATTATTTTCAATTACGAGGGTCAATTATAATCATTCTTGGTGAATAGACATACCCCCGAAATCCTGCGCATTTTCGAGAAAAAAATTTCTTACTGAAATTAGGTGCCTAAATTTTTCGACGAAAAAAAAAATTTCAAATCGTTCTGGAAAAATTATTTTCAATTACGAGGGTCAATTATAATCATTTTTGGTGAATAGACATACCCCCGAAATCCTGCGCATTTTCGAGAAAAAAATTCAGTACGGGCGGAACTTTAAACATTAATAACTTTTTAACAGAGCCTCCATCAACAAATTCGTATTCTTGATTTTGGTCTTATTTTGGCCTCTAGAATCCTCCATTAAAATTTTTCCCAGGGGTTGTTGAACACCCTGTATGTATTTAAAATGGATAAGAAATATAATTTGAATTGAAAGTCGGAAACGCTTTGGAGATCCTTTGCTAGAGCGGAACTGGAATCACTTTGAGTTAATGTTATTGTTGCGATCCGCGATGACTCACGCGGGCCACGCCGCGGTTGATTTTTCTCGAGTGGATCAACGAACCAGCGTCGATGCATTGCGCTATACGCTCCCGGGGCCACGTTTTCAGCGTTCTGGACGCGACCCGACCGTGGCCAATAGATTCTAAATTTTACTTACGAATGCTGATGTACGTTCAGCGAATTACAATCTAGACCAACCGCGGCATTGTTATCGCATCCGCGGTTACGCGCAATCTACATGCCAGCAGAATGATCCAAAAAGAACAACGCTCGGAGGCAAATTGAGTCGCGCACGGAGCCTTGACCTGTCTGGAAAGTTAATTCGTATTCGCGCTATAATTACAACACCGCGACAGCTGCTGGTATCCGGAATCGTTTTGAACCATAATTGAACGCATTCGTTGCTGTTGTATCGCTAAACGTGCCAGTAAAATTCTGATAGCCGGTTGAACGTTACGATCGTCGCTTTCCTACGCTCGTGCCTCGAGATTAGAAGATGCGAACCCAACCGTAGATCAAACAGTCCTGATGTAATTAGATTTTACAAAACATACGAAAATCAAGTATTGAAATATCTATGAATATCGTCCGGAATTTTAGAAGATATTAAGTCTTCTTAATATCAAATGTGTGGTAAAATAATAGCTGAAGTGTAAATCTTCTGTATTAGTTTTTGTGTAGAAAAGAAGAAATCATTTAGTGTTATAAAATATTATTAATACCATTTCTACTGCGGTTTTATTTGAGTTGAGAAAATATTTTTATGAAGTCAAAAAGTCAATTGAGGAGAAATGATTAAATTTAGAAAATAATTCTCTTGTTATAATCATCCTAACACCGAAACTGGACTTAAAGCTGCAAAGTATTATCGAAGTGTTTCGAAGTAACACAAAATATACTTGTTGAACATCCAAAAAAAGGTACACCTAATATTCCTTTTTCAAATTCTTCCGCTCCCTATACAAAAACTGTAACTTCAGCCTTGATGGCTTTGTTTCTCTGTACAATGTTTGCAGAAATTGTTCGCGACTGTGGAAGATCATCGATGGTGGCTCAACCTCTAACATCGTCGTGGCAAGAAATTTTTCGAGGATTGGAAAATACTGTTAAACGGATCCTGAAAATATCGTCTGTCGTGAGAAACTTGTCCCGCGATCGAGACATAGAAAAATGGTGTAGTCTGATCGAGATAAACGACAGTTGGTCCAAGAAGATACTATATCGCGAACAGATATCCGTTTCTCGTGAAACACCCGATAGATCGGTTTACCGAGCCACGCGTGGCCCACAAAAAGATACTTGTTTCCGCCCAGCGCGATATTCATGGAATTGCAGGAAAATCAAGCGCCTCTGTGCAACGATAACTGGCACGATTTCTTCTTTTGGTCCGTTCTAACGTGCATTCTAAACGAAAACGTTAATTTGGTATTGGAATATCGTGGCTGTGCCAACAAAATAATTATTTGGAATTGATTTCAATTTTTTTTTTTTTTGGAGCACTGCACTTTTTAATTGTTTCATTTTGTACGAGAGTCGAGGACACTTGAAACGTGAGAAAGTCAACCGGAGGAGGTGTGCAACCACCCTATATACACGACATCCCGAGGGCGACTGAACACTGAACTTGATTTGCGGAACAGCCGGAGAAGGGAGGATTCTGGGAGAAAGAGAGAAACACGTGGTGCGCTCCTCCGTGAAGAGGGGACCCACGACACTCGTATAGGATGTATTGCCTCTTCTCTGTATGCGGTATATCGCTGCTGGCAAATGAAATTACCAAATACAGATCAGAAATCTTTGTTAGGTTGTACGGAAACACAGTAGCGGAAATATATGTACTTACATTCTCAAACTTTCCGAGGTTTTTGTGGTCTTCGATACCGCGTACAATTGGTAAACACTGAAAATCGTTCCTTATTTAGTTTTGTTAAAAAATAATAATACATAGATATAGTATTTCTACAAATAGTGTAACAGTATATTATCCATAGTAGTACATGTCTTTACGCTTTGTAAAAACTTATAATTTCTGCAATATTGAGACTAACAACGTGACATTTTAAAATCATATTCATCGCGTCTTTATGATACCATTTTAGTAGCGAGGAATAGCTACCGAAGGTTATTAAAATATTCAGTAATATAGGGAAAAATTTCAATGGGAGATTCTAGAGGCCGAAATAAGACGAAAATCAAGAATATCAATTCCTTGACCGAGGCTTCGTTAAAAAGTTATTAACAATTAAATTAAAAAATTTCAAATCGTTCTGGAAAAATTATTTTCGGTTGCGGGGGTCAATTACAATCATTTTTGGTGAATAGACATACCCTCGAAATCCTACCCATTTTCGAGAAAAAAATTCGAGAAGGTGTGTAATTTTTCGACAAAATTAAAAAATTTCAAATCGTTCTGGAAAAATTATTGTCGGTTCCGGAGGTCAATTATAATCATTTTTTATGAATAGACATACCCTCGAAATCCTACCCATTTTCGAGAAAAAAATTCGAGAAGTTATGTAATTTTTCGACAAAATTAAAAACTTTCAAATCGTTGTGGAAAAATTATTGTCGGCTGCGGGGGTCAATTATAATCATTTTTGGTGAATAGACATATCCACGAAATCCTGCGCATTTTCGAGAAAAAAATTCAATACGGGCTGGAACTTTAAACGTTAATAATTTTTTAACGAAGCCTCCATCAACAAATTGGTATTCTTGATTTTCGCCTTATTTTGGCCTCTAGAATCCCCCATTACAATTTTTCCTAGAGATAGCCGAACACCCTGTATATTTGAGTACAATTATGGCAAATATGACAAGTTTGTACGTAATTATATCAACGTTACTAAAAAAATAATTGATAAATAACTGTTTCTCTTAAACGGAAATCGAAAATTATATTAGTTACCCTCGCATTGCATTCATATGCTGAAGAGGAGCAAGTCCTGGTGAATACTAATTTTGATTATTTACGAATCGAAAAAATCCGAATTACCATTAATTTGAATACAATTTCGTGTCCAGTGAAAAATCGGAAACGTTTATCGGCCATCTCGAGGTCCTGCCCGAAAGGAAAGCGTCGCGCAATCGCATGGAAAAAAGAGGCAAGATAAATTCAACGGAGGGAGGAGAGGACGCAGGGGACTGAGAAAGGGTCAGAGGGCACTGTCCTCAGCCAAGGGGGCACACGGCCGGGCCACAGAAAAATTTGCATTTCCTGTTCACGATGAATAATGTCGGGCGTAGGAACCGCAGAGCCGCGCCGTCGTTCGAATTAACTCACCGATCCCCAAAATTTCCGCTGTTAATAATCGACAGAGACCCGATGCATCGCCACGTTCGTGATTTCCGAATGAAAAACCGGACCCGACCGTATCTTATTCGGGGATACCTTCCTCGAGAGCGTTCGTTCCACGGTCGCCTTTGATCTTCACCTTAAAGGGGGGGGGGCTTCAAATCTAATTTTCTCGTTTTAACCTTGTAAAATCCGTTCTTTCAGCGAAACGAGGACAAGAGAGCGTACTTTCATCCGATGGCAGGGGTGTTCCTGGCGGATAGGTTCGGTGGGGTTGCGTGAACGGAAGAAAGAGGAGGAAGAAAACGAAGAGGCAGACAGAATGTTTATGGGGAACAGCTGTTTCTGCCCTGGGGTTGTTGACCATGCACACCTACTTACGGTAGGGGTCTTTTATGGAGGCTCTTACCGGGGCCCCCAGGTACGCGCAACACGTATCCGTCAACCTAGGGAGAGTTTCTTTCGTTTATCTTTTGGTCAATGTCCTGTGTGCACAGGGTTTTCCAATAAAAGCAATATAAAATATATATTAAAAGCTAACGTGCTGCTAATTATTTCATTTTTATGTACGTTTGATGACATTGTCTATCAAATACAATATTATTAAAATATACGATCACGATTGCGCTTGATGGGTTGAGTACCGTGAAACCCTACTTTCGATGACTCTTAGACACGAATCAGGCTATATTTCACCAATAACGCGAATAGTGTTTGTTTCAGTGTGTTGAAACAAACAAGAGATTTAACACGACCCCACAAAAAAAAGTCTAATGCGTTGTGGCCAGTTGACCAGTTAATTTCTAGAAATAAACTAATCATTGAACTTCGTCTCAATAAAACGATAGTTTCAGCAGAGGCATGGCATGTGACACCATTTTCCAAATCCACGAAATCCACGCCAAAGTAAAGATGAATTTACACTTATATTTACTTTGATCATCACGGATTTTTTTATTCCAACGTTGTGAAAAATGGCGGAGCATGTCTGAAGCCAATTGCACACGAAGTGTTTTACCTGGTTGTCATTTTTACACCGTCCTCTTTCCAACGTTTCCTTAAATGGTCCAAACAAATGGTAATCACAGGGTGATAAGTCAGGGCTATAAGGGCAATGTTCAACAGTCATCTAGTGAATTTGAGTTATTTTTTCTTGCGTTACAGCGGCAGCGTGAGACCTCGCATTGTGATGCAAAAGCAACAGGCTGCGGATAGGAACATCGTGTCTTTTGGATCGACAGGCTGCCTTGACCTTGTTCAATAGTTGCAGTAATTGTTCTTTGAAGGGATTAATATTTTTAAACGAAACGAATGTTCATGTGGAAATGAAGAGGCAGTGTATAAAAATTAAAAAATTACTATTTACTAAGGTTTCGAGAGTTTCGAATCCTAAAAATAACAAACAGTTTCGAGGTTCCGGGCGTTTCATCCCTCGAAAATAGATTAACGCTAGGTTGGGGTGAGACTAGCGGGACGTTTTAGAAGGGAAGAATCGAGAAAAGTTGAATGGCGTAACCGCCGGCTGCCTACAGAAGCTGCGCACACTTGTTTCCGAACAAAAAACCAGGTCGAAGCATCTGGAGTTTCGAAGGGGCCTTGGGTCCCGTTGTAAAAACTGTTTATACGGCTGGTATGCGTGGGAGCGAGATTTCGCGTCCGTCTACATCGCGTCTTCGCGGAGATAACGATTATCTTAGCCAACCTTTCGTCGGCTAACAAAAAAAAAAAATAAATAAATATATAAAAGAAACTTACAAAAATTCAAAGTTTATTCGTATAAATAGAATGATTTACAGACACCAACTCTGTGCATGAACAGTGAGGGGGCAATAGTAAAAATGAAGCGTGCAGAAATGAATTTAGATTTCTCCTAATATTCTATAGTAACAGTTTTCGTTTTCAGATACTCGTTCAGAGCATCCTGGCCAAGATCTTTGCCGAAGCCCGACATCTTGAATCCGCCAAAAGGCGCCGCAACGTCCGTCTTGTTGTACGTGTTAATGAACACGGTCCCCGCCTCGATCTTCTCGGCGAATCTCAGGGCTCTGCTGATATCCTTCGTCAGAACACCGGAAGCCAGCCCGTACTCTGTATCGTTAGCCCTGGCGATCATCTCGTCCATGTTCTTGGAACTGAACTTGGAGATCACCATTATAGGACCGAAAGACTCCTCTTTCGCTATGTACATGTCGTCCTTGACGTCGGTGAAGACCGTCGGCTCGAAGTACCAACCAGGACGATCCAACCTTTTGCCACCGTGGACCAATCTCGCTCCCTCCTGGACACCGCGACTCACAAATTCCAAGAGCTTGTTCAGATGCGCCTTGTGATTCTGCGGACCGTGCGATGTGCTTCTGTCCAACGGGTTACCCACGTTTATCTTCTTCGTCTCCTCGACGATCCTCCTCACGAAGTCATCGTGTATAGATTCCTCGACGAACAGTCGACCTGTTCGAACGACACAAAGTCAGCTTTCACTTATTATGTCCGATAGAACCGGTTTTGGGCAAATTTTAGGTACTATAACTCTAGAGATCAGGGACACTTTAAAAATTCTAATTTGAAACTATTTTCCAAGTTCAATTATTTATCCTATAATGTTATATACTTATAAACGACGCTTCAACACAGAATGAAAGATGAAAACGTACCAGCAGCTATGCAGTTCTCTCCCTTGTTGAAGAACACGCTGCCCATTCCAACCCTGACTGCGTGCTGAATGTCAGCATCCTCGAAGATAACCAAGGGACTCTTGCCTCCCAGCTCCAGCGAGACCTTCTTCAAGTTGCTATCAGCGCAGGATCTCATTACCGACTGGCCGATCAACGTGGACCCGGTGAAGCCGAGCTTTCTGATCAGAGGATGCTCGCAGATCGCGTTTCCCGTAACCGACCCGTTGCCCGGTACAATGTTCACCACACCGCGTGGGAAACCAGCTTTGACGGTGAGTTCTGCGAACTTCAAGGCGGTCAAGGGCGACGCCTGGGCAGGCTTCATCACCACCGTGTTCCCCGCAGCCAGGCAAGCCGCCATTTTCCAAGAAAGCATCATCAGAGGATAGTTCCAGGGTGTGACCAGACCACAGACGCCAAGCGGTTCCTTACGCGTGAACGTCAGATTGCGATTGGGCCTAGCGTGCGATATCGGTATCGTCGAGCCTTGGATCTTGTCACACCAGCCAGCGAAATATCTCCAAGTCTCGATGGACATTCCCACGTGGGTCTTCAGGGCCAGGGTATATACCGCGCCAGAGTCCAAACTCTCGATCGTGGCCAACTCCTCCTTGTGCTCCTCCATCAGGTCCGCCAGCCTGTGTGCACATTAGCAATTTATTGTTTGAATAAAAATTAAACATTGCCTCTGGAACCGCAACATTTAACAATTAAAAGGTATGGTTTATGGAACCATTTTGCAACCACAATTTGTAAGTACAGAAATGTATTAAATTGATATTACTCCGTTACTCCGACCATTTTGTTAACAAATTTCTGTTTTTCCAGGTAAATGATTATCGAGCCGATACTTACTTGAAGAGAAGAGCACCGCGCTCCCTGGCACTGATCTTGCTCCACTCCCCATCGTCGAAGGCTTTCTTAGCAGCCTTCACAGCTCTGTCCACGTCCTCGACGGTGCCACTCTCCACGGAGCAGATCACGCTTTCGTCGTGAGGGTTGATCGTGTCCAGGGGTTTTCCATGCCCGTTGACGAACTCCCCGTCAATAAACAATTGCTTGGGGAATTTCAGGTTCGTGTTGTTCGCCTGCAGTTCCACGGCGTCGTATTTGACGTCCTTGGCGGCGGAGACGCCCCGTGCAGCGAGAACTACCGTCGTAGCGAACTGTATGAAAACGGGGGCCATGAAAACGTCTATGTTCTGCAACGTCACTCCCAAGTTGTCCTTAACTTCTTCGACCAGCCTCACGACGTCCATGCTTCCGGCTCCTGCAAGAAAAATTCGTTTTTAAAAATGATCGATCGACTCGAACACGCGGAGCTATCCGTTTACGCACCACACGCGAAGAAGTCGGTGTCGTCTTCGATGTCCACGTTGAGGATGCTGTTCCAGATGTGCATCAAAACGTCCTTGGCCTTCAGCTCCTCTTCCGTGAATTCTATCACGACGTTCTCGTCCTCCTTGCCAAACTTGCTGGCGGGGATCGTTCTGGTACCAATTTTTATCCTTTCCACGTTCACGTATTTCCCGTCGCTGGCGTTGATCAGCAATCCGCCGTCGTGGATGATGCCTGTTCGGCCCTCCACGTTCACCTCTGTATCGTGTGATGGTAGTTCATCGCTGTTCCACAGAGTGGAACCGAACAGACGAACCTCCTCGCCGTTGATCGTGGTCCAAGCTCCCGGTGTGCTGTCCAGACCACGGATGAAGTTGTGAATCTGTTTGGCAGGCTTGGACCAATCCAGTTTTTGTAGATCCTTCTTGTTTAACATCGGATCGTAGGTGGCTCCTTCCTCTGTTTGGGGGATTTTAGGCGCGGTTCCCTTTGCCACGAGGTCCACAGCTTCTCCCATGGCTTTGATCCCCTCGGGGTACAGGAAATTATTGTACACGGTGTCCAGGGTGTCGTTGGGCTCCACTTTGCAGGATCTTTGGAGCAAGACAGGCCCGGTGTCAAGGCCATCGTCCGCCCAGAACACTGAAAATCCAGCGGTATCGTCTCCTTCGATCAAGGTCCTAAATATTACCACAATAACGTCAAGATACTGTCATGATAGTGGGCTTAGTTGCGACTAATGCTGTTATCGGTCTTATCGCGGGGTGTCATTACTTTAAGAACACAATACGATCACCTTAATTATTTTCATTAGTAACGAACCAATTACAATTATTTTACTCTAAATATTTTTGTTCCAGAGAGCCTACAGATTCATCATTTTATATTTCTTATATTTTGTGTATTTAAAGAAAGGGTCAGGTAAGAATAATACAATTTTTAATCGACTAATGGATATAGTTCCATGGCAGTATCAGTTGCATATAAAATTTCTTAAACTCTCAACTTTATTACTCGCTTCATACTGTAAATGAATCTTCCAGGAAATTCAACCCAGGAACGTGAAAATAGAGGATCCAGCCTTCGAAATGGAGTTATAATAATTCAAAGATTAACAACGTTTCGGCCAAGTATCCTCATATTTAAATTGTTTAGATTCCCCAACTTTTCTACGATGTTTTACGTGATATTGTTTTGAATCGTTCAAAGTTTTTCAGACGTTGTCGCCATGTAATCGAGAGCCTCAAGACCCATCAGAATCAATCTGGACTCGTCGAGGTCATTTAAGACTCATTAAGACTCGTCAAGACTCATCAGGATTTTCAGAGCATATCAAGAGCTTTAAGACTTTTTGAAAGCTTCCGGCGCCGAGTAATATTTCGAAGCATCGAAATCTTGAATGACTCTAATCTCTCCGCGGCGGAAATCCGTACGCCAATCACCGCTCGCGAGTAAAACTGGTTCCTCGATCGCGTGACGCTTACCGTTTCAACTGATTGATTAACATTCCCCCGTATCTCTTCTACTACATTCGCTGATACCGCGCTATAGATAATCGCGATACGTCCGCCGAACTCTCTCTTTCGGGCAGCATTCTACCCGTCGCCTATCGTGTAAAGCCGCGTCCCCACTGGGTCGGCATTTGCCGTTCGGCACGGCCGATCGGCAAAAGCCGAGAATTGCGTCTACACTGCGTCCGCATCTGTCATCTAGCACGGCCGATCGGCACCCTAAGTACTTCTCGGCAAAGCCAAACACTGCATCGTCTTGGATAGCATGGCTTGAAAAGCCGAACGGCATGCCGACGAGTCGATCGGCACGATGTCGGTAACCATCAAAAGAGATCGTGCCAAGACACGAGAGCACGAAAGTTTCATGTCAATTTCGTTCCAAAACCATCATCGAGATACAAAGATACAGGAACTTTAAACGTTAATAACTTTTTAACAAAGCCTCCATCAACAAATTGGTATTCTTTCGCGATCGAACGGAAAATTTCACAGCGCGACGATTGCTACCTCCAGTTCTGAAAGGCCCAGGCAGCGCCATAAAGCCTCGTCTTGTAACCAAATATGGTCATAGGCGAAAGATTTTTTCCTCGTACCCATATTTTTGCATAGTCGATAGCCTTTCGTTCCATTCAACGACGGAATTTTCCGCAACCCCCCACTAACTGTTCATCCCCTGCACTAGTCGACGAAGTTAGTGTTCCGTTTGATTAGCTCAGGTTTTTACGCTTTTTTATGTTGCCAGATTTGGAACCGTTACTTCGTCGCGAAAGTCCTCGAATATTCCGCATCTGGCAAATTTTGTTGTAAAATAATTTAGTGCTTTGTCGAAACGAAAGCGCTAGGCCCGAGTTGACCAGCGAAGGGCTATATTGTTCCGCGGGTGGTACGGTCTTCAAGGCCAAACGTCGCACAATGTGACAAGTATATGGGAGTTCGGGACAAAATTAATAACTCCTAAACTATTCAATTTTCGACTTAAGGCCTCTATACTTTTTTTAAGAGGATACAAAGATGCATCGATTTATGACCAAAAAAATACAATTTTACAAAAAAAATTAAGGTGATCTTAACAAGTAATAAGTAACAATAACAGTAACAAGTTTCTTAACGGCAATGAAAAGATTAATTGTTTTTATTGCCCACCTATGACATCGTGGCAAAGGTGGAGCGATTTATAAATTATAAATACATACAGTTTGTATAGCAATTATTCTATGTGGTTTCGACAATAGTGGTACTCGTCGGAAAACAAAAATCAAGAATATCAATTTCTTGACTGAGGCTTCGTTAAAAAGTTATTAAAAAATTCTACGATACGGTCTTTTCTACGATACGTTTGCTTTAACGGTTGTACGAATTAGCTTTTCTACGATTTAATTCAACGGTTTTACGGATTGGTCGATGTTTCCGGAGCCCGTTTCTTCCTCCGATACGCGATTTTGGGGGTGTCAACCGAATTTGGTATTAACTTTTAGCTCGACCGATTGGTCATCGACTAAGGGAAGGAGGACCCATTTTCACACCCCGTTTGGGAGGAAAACTCTTTCCTCATACCTGAACGTGGTGGAGGAAGACTTCCAGGTCACCCCCAGAACGAGGGTGCCCGAGGTTTTCTCCCCAAGTCGAAGGCTACGTTAATTTATCGAAGAAAAAACGGGACTCCGGATTAGGACGCGACGAGTGGCCGCGCGTGTTTAACAGCTGTTTTATGGCTATATTGTTCCACGAGTTGGCTCGTGGTCACTGTACATTTTTTGTGTACTGAAATGGCTTTGCCGCGGTGCATAGCAGTGGCACGGCCGTGCCGCCTTGTGCCGCCTTTTGCCGAACGCTGTGCCGATCGGCAGTGCCGATCGGCAAATGCCGAGCCGTGCCGACCCAGTGGGGACGCAGCTTAACGCGTACTTAATTATCTTAACTATAATGTAACTGACCAGCTTATGGAGCTCGCTCCGCGGTGCCTGGGCAGCAAAGACGGATGATAACATATGCTCTTGTGCCGTGGATGATTGATCACCTCCATGGGAATGAACTGACTGCAGAACGGTAGAACGTTCACGTCCACCTCGATGCTTTTGTACAGCTCCAACACTTCCGGCAGTGTTACTCCTTTGCTCCTCCATGATTTGATTTTGAACACCGGCGTGTCGTCCGTCTTCGCTGTCACAGCTGCGTCAAAACACGAATCGATGCTTCGGTTAACTAAAGATCGGTGACCAAATAACGTTTCGGCGAATCCCACCAATTACCTAACGGATCCTCTCGGTTTCCTTTATCGGGGATCGTGAAAACACCGGTGATATCGTGGCCATTGTATCTGAGCAGTTTATAGACCTCGGCCGCGAACGGGCTCTGACCGATTATGGCCACCTTGAGTCGCGCCATCGCCGTCTGGATTTGAAGGAAATGTCACCTGACTTCACGGAAGATTCACGACGATGCTGCCTAACCAGTTTAGCCGACCCAGCGCCAAATACACCAAGCATGCAATGTCTGTTGTTAGTAAACAGTGTGCGTTCTGTACGTACCCGGTTGCAACTTTAGCGTGGTTGTTGGGCAGCTTTCACTGTGCTTTTAAGCGAGCTGCAAAGAGAAGACATTGTAAGGAGGAGAAGAGTCGCGAGAAGCTCGTGCAGGGTAGGCGTGTCTGCTATAGTGAAATTCAAACGTATTATTTCTACGATCTACGGTCTTTTATTAGCTGGCTAGGCACATTTTGCGTCGTCACCTCTACCGTATGCTATCTCCAACTGTCATCGACTCGCTACCGCATATATGCTATTATTATGCCCGCGTTGTTCCCGTTCCGCAGGATCGTAAACACCGTCGATCGATAATTACGCTTAGCTATTTACACTCGGTGTACGTATAGAGAAAAATCTTACGGAGTTCACGACGTACGTGCGCCAAGGGAGAAAGTTTTTCAGAAATAGCATTTGCAGTCTATCCGACGTTCACTTTCCCGATCGACTTTTGCGATGCATTCACTCGGATCGCGAGTTCGCTAGACGGTTTATTCGGACGCCACGGCGTGCTCGCGGCTGATCGACTGAATCGTGCTAAAACGCGATACGTTTATATAAGCCGGCTGTATCAGGCACGAGGGTCAAGAACTTTGCTGAAGTTACGCGTCGGATCTTGGAACGCCTCTTCCTTATCTATGGTCCCGTCGATTTTTTTATTGAATGGCACGCGCGTTCCACTGTGTGCTTACCCCGCGTAATTCGCGGAAATTTCGTCGAGCAGCAATAATATGACGGGACATTATTGCACGATATGCACACCGCGATAAGGATATCGATAATTTTGAATGTCAAATTAAATACTTCGTTTTAGGCTTTGAAGTAAATAGGCTGACGCCAGTGAGCAGTGATATCGCGTACAGCTAAACAAAATAACGGAAAATAAAAAACAACGCACGCTTTGAACAATAAAAATATAAATTTAAAGTGAAGTTGATGATATTTTTAGATGTTGTAAAACATTAGAGGCGGAGCCATAAACGTATTCGAACGCTTGTAGATTAAATGAGTAAACGATGTTTTGTAAAGAAATTAGACGTTGGTAGATTGTCAAACTTAAGTTCTGAAAGTAACGTTGTAACTATTATGAAATAACGAGATATACAAAATTTTAATTGAAGTCCATAACATTTGTAGAAGTTGTAAAACATTGGAAACGGGATCAGAAAAGTATTCAAAAACAAAATTGAAAGGATTTACTATGAATAATATGTAGAGAAATAGATAGTTTATATATGTTTATTGTTTTAATATCGTTTATAATTGTAAAATACAAAGGAAAATAGAAATTAATACTACATTGTGCTATTGAAGTATAAGAAAGTATAATAATGTCTTTTTTTTTGTACAACAAAATTTGCTTTTTATCAAACTATTTATATTTGAAGTACAGGTAGTCCTCCTACAACACGGTTTCGCTTTAACACGATAAGAAAATTGCGAAAACCTTTGTACAACACTATACTTCTACAGCACTGGATAGCATGATTTTTGCTTAACATATTTAAAAGCTAAATTACCTTAAAATAATGAACTATAGTGGCTTTACATGAAAATATATAAACAAATTATAATTTATTAAATTAAGGTCGCGTTAAATTAAAATAATATTTTTTTGTTTTGTGTTATACATACATTTATATTTTTCATAAAAATTAAGTCGCTTATGTAGAATTAAAAAAAAATATTTATAACTCCCCTTTTTGTACTGGCTTTGGGCCTCACATAACATTTTTTAGGAACTTATCTACCGTGTTATAGGAGGGTCACCTGTACACATTAACTTAATTAATAGTTTCATTATATCCGGAGTCAGTTTTATGCAACAATGTACAGCAGGAAGGAAATAAAGATAAATTCAAAACGGTGATAAAGAAAATATAATTGCTATATATGAATAAATTAACATTGTTGTGCATATCTCGTTCGATATGGATATATCTTCAAACTTTAGTCTCATTTAGTTTTATTTTATATAATTTCAGTTACTAAGTTGGAAGCTAGTAATGAATGTTGAAAAGTATGTTTTAGGTAGCAATATTCTGTAATGTTCTATACTGCATGTGATCTGTAGTGATTATATATATTATATGTATATTTCTATAGATGATAATTTAGATTTTTTTATAGGCAAGTAGTATATTATAGTTTTTATATTAAATTAGAAATTGCTAACACGTTACAAAACAATTATACCATTGGCAACCTTACTTCTTAACAATGCAATTGAAATGTAACATCTGAGAGCACTTAGGTTTTCTATAGTTGATAACAAAGGTTTCCTAAACATTGATAGTCTAGTTGGCCAGCTGGAGCATGTACATATTTAACATCCGCCGTAATAGAAATTGATAACACGTTCCAACAACAGATTGCAAGACAATTATGCTGTTGGCAACTTTGCCCCTTAACAATAAAAAGAAGTGTTCAAACGATAAGAGAACTATGATGGATAATTTCAAAGAAACACGCGCAACGGATGTATATGATTTTCGGAGTCACTGTTTTCTTTCAACTAATTATCGCGCAATATGTAAGATATAACCAGTACGAACGAGTTCGAATGAAAGATTCCCCCCTATCGATCGGTCGTAGGTCACTGATAAGCTGTTTACCCGACCAGTTCGAAACCGGTTAAAGTCGGTTTTAGGTCGTGAACACGAAGATCTTTGGCCGAGTTAAATAAAGAAAAAATGTTATGCAAGAGTGTATCGCTGAACATTAGCAACGCAGTTTTAGAGAGATAAATGTAGGGTAAACTATTTTAAAAATAATGTACAGTCTTTATTACATTACCGATTTACATACAAGGAGAATATGGAATACAAAGGACGATTTAATTACATACTACCACATATATACCTACATAGAATTATTCTGTTAAAATATACATACATCGTATACATACATTTGATTATTTTGATAAAGTAGAATTGCAAATATATGAACAGCGACTCGATCGTTCAATATCTAGGTACTTTGAATTCTGACGCGCCGTCCAACACGGTCGAGGGTTTCCTCTTGTTCATAATATTTTGTATCTTTTGCCATTCCCTGTCCAACTCTGCTTTCTCATTCTTCTCCTTGTTGTATTTCCTCGTTCTTCTTCCGTCAGCCATCTTTACTCCATACTGGAATGCTGCTTTCGGCAGAGCCTCCTTATTGTTCATATACTCGCTATATTCCTCAGGGGTGTCGAAGTCCCACCTACCGATAGGACCCTTTTTATTGCCGAGGTCCATTTTGGTATAATCTACCTCGTCGTCCGAATCGTCTATGGCATCTTGCATCTCGTCCAAACCCGGATAACATTCTGCGTAGCCTTCTGGCTCCGCGGCCAGTTTGTTAAGAAGCGCTCCTTTCTTAGGTGCATTGGTGTCTATGGTGGGTACGACGCTTGGTAACTGTGGAGCATTCGCTTTATCATCCGTGTCCAGGCTACTCTCGGGTTTGTCGAAGTAAGAGCCTTTCTTTTTCTCTCTAGACTGAATCAAGTCCTTCTTGCCAATCGTAGGAACGTAGTCCCCGATATCACCATAAATGCTCTCGTCCTGAGGCCTCGGCGCTATGTCCATGTCATTCATATCGTCGGGCCTCGATCGTCCATCTTTATTTTTCTTTCCTTTCTTCCCGTGACGATTACCCTGCCGTAGATACGACAATATCTGTGCCAATTTGTTTATGACAATATCGTTCGTCGTCAGAGTAGGCGTGTTGTCTATCGTGGGCACGTCAGCTTTGCTCCTAATCAAAGTAGTCGGTATGTCTACGTCCGCATTTTCGTCGTCCAATTCTATTACGTAAGCCATGCGGCCAGGTGTGAATAACTCGTTTCTCTCGATAGTCTTGGACTTCATGATCATAACAGTTTTGTACACGTTCCGTCCCATCTTGGTTTTGAATTGCATCTCGTCGTCTTTCTTTTCAGTTTCCTTTTTGTCTTTCACCTTGTCTTTTGGCTTCACTAACTTCTCCATTTCCTGCTCCTGCTCGTGCTCCTTTGCCTCGATTTCGCTGCGTACCTATAGGAATGAACTTATTTGTTTAGACTGTATTAGTGTTCTTAAAATGAAAAAAAAGACAATCAGGATTGCTAATTATTTATTATTTTTTTTCAGATCCATACCTTCTGAAGAAGAGCATAATCTAATCCTTTGACCAAGTGAGTATGTTCCATGTCACCACCCAAGAATTTTGACTGTTGAATCATTTGTCTCCTGCGTTCGGCTGCATCCATTCCTGATTTCAAATCTGGCGCAACGGCTCTGTAAGCACTGGCACTGTTCATTGGATCTTCTGCTTGGTAATCTTGATTTGTGCCGTCTCTACGTTCCCTAGCTCTGTCTCTGTACTTCTCCGCCAACTCTGCCATTTTATCTTCTTCCTGTTTCTTTAGTTTAGCGTAGAAGCTTTTCTTCTTCCTTCGCAGCTCTGCTCGACTACCCCCGCTAACATTAGATGTTTGTGCAGTCTTTGCACTAGCATCTCGAGCAGTGCCAGGTATGGATGCTGGTGTAGCCGATGGAACCGAGGCTCTCGGTGTCATTAAGAGTTTCCGAAAGTCATCGTTCGTTAAACGAACGGACATTCCCATGTCCTCCTCCGTTGTCTCTGGCATTTTTGTTTTTGTAGTTTGTTCCTTTTAAAGATTGAGGTTAGTTTGTTAAAATAAATGAAACTCCTGGTGGAATAAACACCAAGAGTTGTTACGAAACGCCAGATTAATGTATATAAACTACATGCGGTTAATATTGTAAAATGCACAATATTTGCATAAGAAAAATTGATATGTCACTTTCTTATTTCATATCGATATTGCTAAAGAAAAGAAATCCATCAATACTGTCAACAAAACATTATGGGGATTTTCCCCTAGGGTTTTTCGTGATGGCGCTATCACTGCGTCATTCACTATTTAAATTTTAAAATATTTGTCAACTCTTTCTGGTTCGAGACCAGCTTTTTTCTAATTTTTAAAGAATAAGAACTTTACCTTAATTACGCGTAAATACACTTAAAAAAAGTATCACATAAATACTAATAAAATTAAATAAAACAAATTTCGTTCTCGTGTGCGAATACTTGCGTAAAGTTTTATTAAGAGAACAATCAATTTTCACATAATAGTACAGTACAGTGAAATGAACAAGATTAGACAGGTATTATCAATTATTTTCAATTCTGACAACGTGATATTCAGCATCTATGCAGTTCACATACTTCATTGTCGGTTTTCCTAATTGAGGGTTGGCAATGAAATGTGCAAATCGAGTAATGCCATTACAAGCAGCCCCGTATTGTCCCTCCTTGTTTATTGCAATCACTGCACCGGTAAAGGTTGGATAATGTTCAGCAATTCTGCGAATCGCTGTTGTTGCGGCTGCAGTTGGAGTAGCGCCGCGACGCATCTCTTCCACAGCCAAGAAACTTAAAGAATAGTTACGGTTTAAAACTCTGTAGATCTGTTTTATTGACTAAATGAGTTTGTTCTTTACCTAGGTAAAAAGCGCATCATAATGTCACCTTCGCCGGTACCGGCGGCTGCGCCGACCTGTTGATCGGCGTATGCGCCTGCACCCGCGATCGGGGAATCACCGATGCGGCCAGGAATTTTATTTCTTGCGCCATTTGTTGACGTACCAGCTGCTATATGACCGTTAGAATCTATAGCAACGACACCAATCGTGTCGTGGTTTTCCTCGTTCACGAACGACTCGTGCTCCTCGATATCGTTTTCCATTGTACCTATCGAACGATACGGGCCACAAGTCGTTCTCGGATCTGGTGCAACGTTCTGGTACAAGCATAATAACAAATGTGGGTCTGATGGAAAACGGTCAATTCTGTTAAAAATGTTTTACCTTCCAAAAGTTGGGCTGACAGTTATTGCTTCTCCAATCCATCCACATTTTCTTGGATTCCTCTGTTTGTAGAGACTCCTCCTTAAATCCCATCTCCACAGCAAACTTTGCAGCCAACTCTCCACCTAGCAAGGAATGTTCTGTGTTTTGGAGAACCTTGCGAGCAACAGAAATAGCATTCCTGACATTTCTTAAGAGACCTACACCGCCTACATCCATCGTGACTCTGTTACCAACAAAGTTTATTTAATTTACGGACTTTTATTTTAAAATTAGTAGATCTGCGAATAAATGATTGCCGTACCCGTCCATGATTAAGGCATCCAATGTAGTTTCTCCAGCCTCATCCGGGCTACCTCCATATCCCACAGTTTTTCTGCATCTTTGCTGTTCGCAAAGGCTGCAACTTTCTTCTATTGCATCCAAAGCACTCCTCTTCTCATTGTATAGAACATCCCATGCTGAAAATAAATTCAAGTCCTTCATTTTAGTACAGTATTATTTTTTATAAGTTATATTTCTATAAAGTACCACCTTTTTGTGTTGCATCATGATAATCCCAGGTAATGACTACTAGAGGAATGCTGTTATTGGAAAGCATTCCTTTGCAAGTTACTAAATAGATACTTGCAAATAAATAGATCGCTAGTATAGACTTCATGTTTAGAGCTTTGTTTCAATACTACTGATCGATATTGAGGATTCATAAAGTAGGTGATCTTTGTTCGCATACAAGGTGGGGATATATCTTTAGTCTATGGGTAATACTGTTTTCATACTGCATTTCTTATTAACACAGATATCCGATAATCTATAGACGACAATGAACTGCCAGTCAGTCTCTGTAATTATGTCATTGGTTATGATAATAACTGCATCATTTTCTTCATAATTTCATTATTAAGACATTTTCATTAGGTAACAAATATAATATATAATTAATCAAAGATGCTGATACAAATAAATATTTCGATGAAATCAAATTTGATTTCAACGTTAATATTATCTTATCTAGCTCATGGAAAAGTTCAACGCGATAATGACTCCAGTAAATAGTGAGTCACAATCAAAATCGTACACCACATATGATAATATGTTTCATTCGGAAAAGAAAGTTTAGGAATGATTTGGAAAAAAAATAAGGCGGACATATTGTAAACATATCTGTATTTATTGTGCAATAATGACAAAAGAAATGAGTATTGCTTAACATAACAAAAATAAAATTACTATAATACAGGCAGAAAAGATCTCAGCTAAAATCGCACAGATTAAGAATATTGTTGTATATTTAAATTAAATTAAAAATTAGTACTTTGTAGGGTAACCGCGGCTGCATTCTCAATTACGTTTAGATCGAGTGATTTGGGGAAGTATATTGATAACTTTCGGGCAGTTATACACATCATTCTGCTTTGCATGTATGAAGTGTTTAAACGCTCCAATTTCAATATTCAATATAGCAACGAAATAAGAGTGGGGGAATTAGATTCATGTTGAGTTTGATAACCTTTCCTCTAAGACCGGTGCGGAAATCTAAGTCATGTTTGTCAATTATATCATTGAATGCTCATAGGGTATTCAACACGCGTACTATCAGACCGAGAGCACATAAACACCTACGCAATTCAATGCATTAAGTGTTACAATTTATCAACCAATGAGGTTACCGAATTATTTTGACCGCTGACGATTGCTTAGCTTCTTGAAATTCTGCCTCGTTTTGACACAACTTTGTCATTATTTCGTACAGCATTTAAACAAAGATCGTACATAACAATTTGGATGGCGGTTCTTAATTTCCGACTAACCATGAAAGAGTTCTTTGACACAAGCAATTTGCAATCGATGTAGAAGAGCTTCGCCCGTCTTTGTCGCTAAATAAATAAGACATTACATTTCTGTAAGCTCTAGGAAATATTTTGGAAGTCGCGTTAAATAAATTGTATCGATAGTTTTCTCGTTGTGAGAGAATCGTACGATCGGAACTCGTACTTCGTCGCGATCATAACCTGTACGCATTTGTTTCTTAAAAATGCCATTCAAAAAGGACTTGCAGCTTCTGTTGAAGCCTTATTATTTGATAAACATTATGCTCAGCGTATCGTACATCATCTCGAAACGTGTACCATTTGTTTGTCATTATGTGTTTGCGCAATCCGAGTGTGAACTTGATGGGGTAAGTCTTAAACAGAGTTCCGTTGCTTATGCAACGATACGATGATTATTTTCTGTATTTTAGAGGGAGACGGAGATCCTATTTTTTCTTATGATAGTTATAATGATAAGGTCACGGAAAACTGGAAGCGTCACTATGATAAACTACTTGTCATCCAGTTTCGTTTATACCAAAGTTGCTAATCTGATTCTATGGTTTTACGCGGACGTTCGTATGGGCATATTGTTTGCCATTGTGTTCATTTGTACGTGTTTATAGCTCGACAATCTTTTATACGATACACAAAGTTTGACTTGTAATTTTCTAATTACAGTGTGCGGTTTGGTGTTCCCTGAACCAACGTATCAAGGCCCAGAGAATGTAATTTACTTGCGCGGTGCGGATGATTTGCAGACGGAACTGCAACGCAACACAAGAGTCGTTTGGCTAGTTGCATTCTATACGGCATGGAACCCAGCTTGCGTTAATTTCGCACCGATATTTTTTGAGCTTTCCGCAGAGTTAGTTGCATTTGTTTCACGCGTCATATACAATCATATGTTCTCCAAAGATAATACTATGTACAAAATTTTCAGATACGCTTTAGAAAATTTAAAATTTGGGAAAATAGACATTGGAAGATATCCGGATGCTGGTGTGAAGTATCATATTAGCGATGCCAGCACTAGCAAGCAGCTTCCTAGCTTAATTCTATTTAAGGATGGTAAAGAGGTGGAAAGGCGTCCTTACGCAGACCATAAAGGCAAACTGGTTAAATTTCTTTTTTCACTGGTACGTACAAAGCAGTTTTTTTTATGTTTAGGTTGTTTTACGTACATTACAAGGCACCTGTTATTTTGCAGGACAATATAAAAGCGGCATTTGATCTTAACAATATTTATAAAGATTGTAAAAAGTCTCTTCTCAAAAAGAAAGAGAGAAAAACAGTGAAAGCAGAATAACATAATATATGTTTTCGAGCATTTGTTAAAATGTTACCAATTCCATAGCATTATCAACAACTTCGATCGAAGGATGACTTCTACTATGTAGAACAGACATTTAGCGTACGTACAGTCAGTGTCTCGCGCAAATTTTTATTTATAGCGAAATACTAATCTTTGTAAATATTTCATTGTACCTTTTATCATTACACGCGTCTCATGCACCACTGTGTTCTATTAGTAAGATCTGATCTTAGCATTAGGATGAAACAATGATTTATTGAAAGGTAGATATTGTTGCGAACAATATTGATGTTGAATGACATGCGAGTGCCACACGTTGAGTATCGTTTACACGCATAAAAGGTTTTGCATTATATATGTTTATTCAAAGCAAAATGTAGCTTCTAGTTACATTACCTATACTTCGTATTCAACGTTGCAGTTTTAATTAAATAAACGATCGTTGAAGTATACGCTTTTGTAAGGTTTTCATGTGCACGGCGCGTATAAAATTAAATTTTCGTATATTACAAATCCAAGATATACAATGTACAAATACATAGTTGTAAATGCAAAATTTCGACAGATGATTTATTATACAGGCGGCCAAATGATCGTGACTTGTCCATGAGCCGATTCTGGCAGCCATTTTTGATAGGCTGACAGAAGAACTGAAATTCGTAATAATGTTTTTAAAATTGTTCTAGCGAAATATCCACACATAAAAATCAAACTTACAACTTTCATCTGCCCTCCAAGTTTCTAATAACTTTTCTTTCGACATGATCGCACGAGACATTAAGAGCCGAGTCATTTCTTGTGTTCGTGGTATTAATCTGAAAACATATTATTTGAATCGAGTTCCTCTTCTTATTTAAGATAAATGTTTAAGAATCTTACTTGGCCCATGACTTGTTAATACTTTGTGGAGTGGATAAGAGCGAAGGCACGAATCGTTTTAATTTTGGACAAACTTTGCCTTCTAGAAAGAAACATGCAAACCACTTCACTCCTTCCACGGTGAGAGGATGTTCCATGTTGATTGTTGGTAGCTTCCATCCACCTCTTCCTACCGTTCCTGTTATGGAACACATAACTTTTCCCGTCTCTTCGTCATACCTATATAAACATGTACGATATAAGTAATTCTTGAAAATAACGAAAATTTATAACTGTATAGCAAACCTCGGTGGTGGATCGGTCAAAGGTTCTCCGAGCTGACACAACGACGGAGTAAATTTAGGTAGCCATTCTGGTTCTATGACTGTGACGCCACGCATGTACATTTTATTCGTCTCGTATACTTCTTGATAAACCACCCATTCGGGACACGACTTCCGGAGAACGCACGACGAATGCATGAATACTGGATCTTCCATATCCAAGGTTCTAAACAAGTACGTTTGATTTGATATACAGACGATATTATGATCGGTAGTGTACAAGTTTTTAACCCTACTTGTAAGCGTATTTCCATTTATTCTTGTCTTGATCTTCGCCAATTTCGTCTGGCATTACTTTCTTTGCAATCTGATCCGCCATTCCAGCGAGAACTATTTGTCTCAGCAGTTTGGCTTCGGTATCGTTTGGTGGTTCCATTCTAAATTATATAGAGGATGTTCGTTAACTAGTGGTACAAGCGAAAGGGGGGTGATTCTACATGAAAAAATAAGTCTAAAATATAGAATAACAATTCTTCAGGTTAGGCTTTATTTTCGAGAAAATCGACTTTGGATTTTCGTGGGGTATGCGTGCACTTAACCTTGTCTCGATGGGTATTATTGCAGTTTAAGTTTAAGTTTAAATTAATAAACAATTTCGTGACACTGGTAGTGTTTATCAACATCAACTTCAAAGTCAATTTTCTCGAAGGCAAAGCCTCACATGAACAATTTTTATTCTATATTTTAGACTTATTTTTTTATGTAGAATCACCCCCGTTTCGCTTGTTTGGACGTACAAGTATGGAATACGTACTGTGGATCTATAGTGAGATTTAAATCTTGTACGTTTAGATTAATTTCATTCGTCAGCTGTTGTCGCAGTTTCCTAATTTCTACGATAGCTTTATGCCGTAAACCATGATTTTCGCAGAACGAGAGAAGCTTCCCCTTAGTCCCTGCATATTCTGCGGCTCCCACAGCTCTCATCAAGACCATTGGATCACCTTTACGAACAGTGTACATGTACATACACACTTTTAGCTTCACCACTTTAAATATCTCTATCGCTGTTGATGATGACGAAGAAACGTTAGGGGAAGAAAATATTTTGTTGAAGAGGATACATCATATTAAGGACATTTCTTCGTCATTGTTAACAACAATGGTGATATTCAACGGAGCATTTAATCGATCTACCGAGAAGTAAACTGTTGCAAGTTCCGGCCCAGTGCCGTCTCATTTGTGACCATTTGCTTTTGAAAGCTCCATCCGACTCGTATGCTTCCACCAGCACTTCCTGAACGGAAAGTGCTGCAACCATGCAGATAGTGTATTGCAAGAGATTATGCTGATGAGAAAGAGCCAACATCTTTCCGAAACGAGGAGCAACCGGAAACGCAGCAATACTGTGACCAAGTGGCGTGATTTTGGCACTGTATGAACCTGCAAGGTGACGAATTGTACACCGTATTTTTTAAAACATATAACCTAACCTAACCACGAGGATGCTAGGAACATTACTATAAGAAATTATAAACGTAGAGATAAACATAACAAGTTGAACAGATGCTGACAAGGCGATAAAGCGTTAATAATTCAAAATTTGTTTAGTTTCCTTAGTAAGACTAATCCAGAGAATCTGAAATTTATATTAAACATCAACAACGACCGGTTGTACCTTCTTTGCCGGGCGGGGGCTGATGCAAAGCACCAAGAATTAACAGTCGTTTTTCCGCCATTTGCAATTGTACAATGTCCGGTGGCGTTGGGAATGGGAAATTCACAACTTTATCAATGTTCATTACTTTCATTTGCAGGACCAAATCGTCCACGGGTTTCCTCTGTATCTCCGACTGACTGAACTGTTCAAATTGGTCATTGAATACTGCCGACGAGTACAATCTAGAAGTAACATTCGTTAATTTATCCTCCACGTATGTGAGATTCTATGCATCGATAAATACCTGTAGGTGTGGCCAGGACCAGTTCTGCCAGCTCTGCCTGCACGCTGATTAGCGGATGCTTTGCTAGTGTAACAGACTTTGTACGTACTGACGCCTGTTACTTTATCGTACATTCTTGTTTTACATCGTCCGCTGTCTATCACGTACTTTATATTGGGTATTGTTAGAGAAGTTTCGGCTACATTTGTAGCTACGACGCATAACCGACAATCCTCTGGCGGTGATTCGAACACCTGAAAACGGGCGTATTTCAATTACTCGTTCCATCGCGCGTGTTCACTCATAATTTCTTCCTTACCCTCGCTTGTTTGTAACTTGGCAATAGGGAATACAGCGGTAAAACAAACAATGATTGTGCATTCGCGCAATCCTTTAAGTCAATCACATCATCGTCCTCATCTTCGTCTTCGTCTAATTGTAGTTCTTCGTCGTCATCCGCTTCAACCAAATCCTCGTGCGTGTCGTCGGCAGGAATCACAGAGTAGCTAAGCGTTTAAGGTATTTTATAAAGATTTTTTTATGTAATTTGTGCAGATACTTCTACATACTCGTCTAGATTAATGTTTGGCAATTGAATTTCTTTCTTCTTTCGCAGTTTGTTGCAACGTATTGCGTTCTCGGAACGAAAATCATCCTCGGAGTCATCGTTATCACTCTTATCGGTAGTTTCTTCTTTTTTTTTCTCCTCGACGTCCGCGTTTACTTGTGATTTCTGTGGCTTCTTACGAGTCTCTTTTTTGCTCTTCATGGGAAACGCTTTGCGTAATTTTCGTACCACAAAATTCACTTCCCTTTGCCCTGAATTTTCATTAATAACAAGCTTTTGAACATACAAAAAAAAAAAAGAAATTACGATTGGCTATACCTGTTAGAAATATTAAGATACCACCATCCGGGAGGCGAGTGTGAATCTTTACTGCTTTTCGCAAGGCATCAGCAACATAGTTGGTGTTTGTTTTCCGATTGAAATGTATCGTAACCGGAAACTGCCTCGATTTCACTGTTAGTACCGGCGGTTTCACTTTAAACAATTTTTTGTTCTCTACAAATTCTTCCACCCTCAAGGTAGCCGACATAATTACAAGTTTCAGAGGATTGTTCTTCTTGTTACGCAGTGGTACTATCCGCGATAACAAACCGATTAAAATATCCGTGTATACGCTTCGTTCGTGGGCCTCGTCCAGAATTATTATCGAGTATTTAGTGAGCAAAAAGTCCTGAAAATTGTTAAAGATTAGGTTCAAATCTTAGGTTTTCATTCGATTCGCATAAGCAACTACGTACACTCTGTATCTCTTTCAACAGAACACCGTCGGTCATGAATTTGATTTTTGTCTCGGACGTTACGTTCCCCTCAAAACGAATCAAATAGGAAACCTCTTTTTCCGTGAGATTCATCTCCTCGGCTACGCGTTTGCTCATCGACATAGCAGCCACTCTCCTAGGTTCCGTTACGCCAATTAATTTCTCTCGAGCATAGCCAGCTTCGTACAGAAATTGTGGCACCTGGGTAGTCTTACCACTTCCCGTTTCACCAGTGATTATCACGACAGGATTCTCATTGATCGCCTCTACGATAACTTGTTCCTCCGCTACAACAGGTAACTTTAACCTAGCTGCTTGTATCTCTGGCTTCCTCTGCAGAGCTACAAAGACAGCAGGTTTTTTATTTGCCGCCTCTTGCAACTTTGAAGAGTCCTTGTTCAGAGTAGCAACAGGCGGCTTTTCTTTCTCTTGAACATTATTCTCTGTTACGATATTATTATTCGAAGACTCTTCTTCTTTCTCGCAAGAATGTTCCTTCGTGTTTTCTTCAACGTTTTCAGTCTGACGATGACTTTCATTCTCTGAAGCATTCTCTTCCTGCTCAGATTCATCATCCTTGACGTTCAATTCAGACTCGCTGTGACTTGATTCCTAAAATATCTTTATATCATACCTTGAACGTATGTACTGTAGGAAGCTGGTAACTTGTCGAAGTTTTTCATTTGCTCTATCTGTCCCCATCATTGATCAACCGTCTCTACATCTTATAGAGAACGAACATCTTCTAGACCACAACTTACCAGCTCTCTATAGTACTACAAAGCACACATGTATTCAGAGTGTCCGTTTATAAATGCCCAAGTAAAGAAAAATTACATCGTTTCACTTAAAAAGGCAGGTTTGTCTTTTATATCGCTTCTATGCTTCTACTTATGACAAAATTATTGACTGTCTTGCATCTTTTTTTCTATCATAAAAGGGCAAGTTATTTGAATGCCTTATTTTAAACACCCTGCTCTAAATTTTACTATTACCATCAACTCACTTCAAATCCAACAATGTTTGGATCAGAGCAAACATCATTCTTTCTGCTATCTGCTAAAATGGCTAGTCTCTTTTTCCTTCCTTTAATAGCATTTATAACTACTTCTGTGCCATCATTTTCATTGTCATTGACAATTTTGTCATTGTATTCCTTCGTAGGTAATTCTGCTTCTCTAAAATGACGTTTCAACCCTTTGGTTTGCACAGCTGTTAAAGATACGTACTGTTTCAACTCATGTTGAGGTGCTTGTACTTTTGCCAATTCTTCCAAAAGTGTAGCCCTCTGTATACAAGTAAAATTTGTATGAAATTGTCCGCAAAAAAGGAAAATTCAGCATATTCTGTAACTTACATGCAACTTCTTTTGTTTCTTTTCCACAACTTTTTCCAACTCCTTTCTACGTTTTTTCGATAACAATCGAGTTACAGTTACTTTCTGAACTTTGCTCTTTGTTTTCCTCTTTTTGCTAGGAAGAACCAAGGGGTTACAGTTGTCATAATCATCTGCATGATGTTTGATGTCCAAAGCGATCTGTGCATTTGAATTTATTTATTAATTGGACGATCAATTTTGAATAAAACTATTAAATATGTTCGCGATAACGTTTTACGTATTTTTATAGAAATACCTTTTTAGTTCCAGAGTTGTCAATTTCAACTTCCACAACATTTCTCGATTTCAAATTGTATCTTTTCTTCCCCATTTTATTTTGTTTCGAAAATGAGGTTTGAAACCAACGTGTCCACTCTGATTTTCTTTTTTATATAATTTGAATGTTTAAAATAATTAATAACTTTCATATTTTGACACATGCGTTGTTTTATTTACATAGGTTATATTTATTTCATCAAACACGTGCTCGTAAGATATATTTATGTATCATATTATCACAGACAAGGTATATCATATACCTCGTCTGTGCTAATGGCTGCGAATTTAGAATTGTTTCTTGATATAATAAACGAATTTAGATTTATAGTTAGGCAGGTGTTTGGTTAACGATTATGTTAGGCAGGTTATTTTTATTTGAAGACAAATTCTTTTGAAAAATCTTTTAACTCTCTCTGTTGGTTATGCATCTTTCATTGGTTGCACTTTCGATTGTTTCTTCTTCGACCAACGATCGTGGGTCGGAGAAGATCTTTATTAATGGAGGGTGGTTGGGAATCGGTTAGGGCGGGTCTCCATTCGCAGCAACCTCCACGTGGTGAGACCTGGGTAATATTAATTACCGTTTAATTAATAATCGTATCACTCTTAGCTGGGTAATGCAATTATTAATTAAAATCTAAATAATATTAGCAAATTGGCTGCGATCCGCTTTGCATAGGTCATCATAAATATAGAGCTTCTTTATTAGGTTAGTTTTGATTCTCATTGATTCATCAAAGATTCTAGTCAGAGACCAGGTATGCGAGTAGATTTTTCCATCAATGCATTTTTTCGACCCATTTTCATGGGGTCTCGAAACCCCATTACCATTTTCGTGTCATTCGCAACGTTACCAACAGATTCACAAATGAATTTTAATCCCTTCCATAGTCAATTCACATGTATTTACGCAAACACTACACCTGTTTGCCTATTAATACTAATTCTGTGAATAGTTTCTCAACTAACTAACGCCATTCGTGAGAAGAGTACGCTAAAATCACCTCCGAATTTTCAGGTCGGTATGGCAGTCAGATTGGGTCACGAAAGTCGATAAGGTGAAAAGTCTACTCGTATCACAGATTACAATTATTACAAGAAGGCTTTAATCTTCGTAATGGTTTTAATGGGTCGATGATCAACAATGACTAGCTTATGGTCACTGGTGGTCAACAGTGAGGTGGACATCAAGGTCAGCGGTCCAGTGAAGATCCAGAAATGGTCAAGAGGTGGGACCAATCGAAATAGTTTCTTTGTAGACAAGACAGTCTTATCTGTTAACTTTAACATTGGCTCTGACTGGTCTCCCCACCCTTTCATCACCTTGGACATATAAGCAGGGCCACTGCGAAGAGTTCTTCAGTCGCGTCGCGAATTCGGGAGTGTACAAGTCACCTGAAGTGGACCGGGGACCACTGCTGACCTCTGCTGGCCGCTGCTGACCACCACTGGCCAGCGCTGACCATGGCTGACCAGGGCTGACCACTACTGACCACTACTGACCAGTCCTGGCTCGCGCTCCTGCCACTACTGACCACTACTGACCACTGCTGACCACTGCTGACCACTACTGACCAGTGCCGGACGGTGATGACAACGGTAAGAACTGTTTAAAAATTCTCTCCCCTCTTCTATTCTATCGTTTGATACCAATTTCGCTTCAATGAACTGATTTTGCCTTGCTTGTCTAACTGCTGTTGCTATAATATGAATATTTTCTTACTTTACAGATGGCCCAGTGGTAACTATGCTACGTACTGACAACAAGTAGTGAGTCCACTCCATTTATTTATATTTTATTATTTTTATTTGTTTGATTGATGTGAATTCAACTTTATTTATCTATCTGATTTTATTTGGTTATTATGAATGTTCCTTTTCTCTGTTTCGACTTTTACATTGTTTTTCGCGTTTATGTGATTGCTTTGATATGCATAGTATTGCATGATATAATAATGTAAAATTGTTTTCAATCATATACTACAATTGTTTCTATACAATTTCATGGATTTTTGTTTGTTACGTTGTTGCTCGAATTCTCGTAATATTCTGCGGAGGTACTTTGTTCGATTCTTCCATTTTGTTTGATTCTTTGGTGTTGATTCAATTTGGTGTCTCGATCCAAGTTTCTTTCATTATTACGAATGGTCGTTTTGAGTTGTATAACATCGTGTCGATGCGTATACCATATTTGTTTCGATGATACTGATCAGTAGAAGAATGTTCGTTTTGATGTGTATAACATGGTGTCGATGGATATACCATATTTGTTTCGATGACACTGATTAATATAAGATTTTGCTAATATACTCTGTTCAATTCCCTTTAGTTAGGTGATAGATCATTTTAAAGTGTTTATTAAATTTCCTACCATATCTCACTAATATACATATGAGTTTTGATTTCAGTTTAAATTTGGGTTAATCGCAAGGACATCGAGGGAGAACGCCGCAACCGTCGAGGGACTTTTAATTCTAAGTTGGTTAGTCTTAAGCTTCGTCGCGAATCTTAAAATTAACGTCGACGATTTCTTTATTATACGTGTCTCCGCGTCCTACCAAGCAATTATTCAATAAGTAGCTTCTCCCTCGCTCGTTCCCTCGTTCCTAGCTTCGGTCACCGCTGTTTCATCGATTGAAACATGTGATCGGCCGTGTATCTGGTCCGAAAGATCTAATCGCCTTCCCTTGGTAGCTCGATCCAGGGAAAATGGTACTCTGCTGGAAGGTGTGGAGTTTCCGTATCCTGCGGAAACGCATACCTTCCAGCGGAAGTCGACACTGAAACAGAGGTACTCTCTCTTTGTCAGACAACTTGAGTCGGGTCCTTCGGGCTCCCGGCGGGTTGCGTTGGAGCAATGGAGACCTTAGATTCGGAGTCGCAGCCGTCCGTTATCCTGTAGAGATCTAGTTAGCAAGGGCAGTAGGTTCGATCCTCGGATCCGCTGCACGGTTCAGCGTCGCGTCGCGTCGCTTCGCGTGCCCCTCAAATTAACTTCGTCCCTCTTTTTAACCAAATAATTGCTTGGTACAACTAAACCAGAACATCCAAGGAACTTTGTTTCCTTCTATCGTCCGAATTTTAGTTTCAACTTGACCAGACTTGAGCTTCGACGTTAATTTTAAGTCTCTATTGTATGCGTCTCCGAATATTGCCAAGTAATTATTTAACAAGTAGCTTCTCTCGACTCGTTCTCTGGTTCCTAGCTTCGATCACCGCTGTTTCATCGATCGAAACATGTGATTGGCCGTCCAGTTTGTCCGAAAGATCTAGTCGCCTACCCATGATAGTTCGATTGCTAGAAATAGGAATCAATCTACCAAGGGCAGTGTTGATTCGATCCAAAGATCTGCCGTACGGTTCAGCTTCGCGTCGCGTCGCGTATCCCACAATATAGCTTCACCCCTTATCAAACGAAATAATTACTTGGTACAACTAAACTAGAAGATCGAAGGAACCATTGCTTCCTTCTATCTCTCTAGTTTAGTAATCCAGCTAAGCTTAGCTAAAAGGGAGATCGATGGAACTTTGATTCCATCTATCTCCCTTCGGGTCTCCATTCGCAGCAACCTCCTCGTGGTGAGACCTGGTAATCGGTGTCACCCACGATAGAAAAGTTATTCTTCATGGGTGACACCGAGCTAATGGCTGCGAATTTAGAATTGTTTCTTGATATAATAAACGAATTTAGATTTATAGTTAGGCAGGTGTTTGGTTAACCATTATGTTAGGCAGGTTATTTTTATTCGAAGACAAATTCTTTTGAAAATTCTTTTAACTCTCTCTGTTGGTTATGCATCTTTCATTGGTTGCACTTTCGATTGTTTCTTCTTCGACCAACGATTGTGGGTCAGAGAAGATCTTTATTAATGGAGGGTGGTTGGGAATCGGTTAGGGCGGGTCTCCATTCGCAGCAACCTCCACGTGGTGAGACCTGGGTAATATTATTTAACGTTTAATTAATAATCGTATCACTCTTAGCTGGGTAATGCAATTATTAATTAAAAACTGAATAATATTAGCAAATTGGCTGCGATCCGCTTTGCATAGGTCATCATAAGTATAGAGCTTCTTCGTTAGGTTAGTTTTGATTCTCATTGATTCATCAAAGATTCTAGAGTATTGTCAGAGACGAGGTATGCGAGTAGATCTTTCAATCAATGTATTTTCTTAGCCTATTTTTATGGGGTCTCGAAACTCCATTATCATTTTCGTGTCATTCGCAACGTTACCAACAGATTCACAATTCACAAATGAATTTTAATCCCTTCCATAGTCAATTCACATGTATTTACACAAACACTACACCTGTTTGCCTATTAATACTAATTCTGTGAATAGTTTCTCAACTAACTAACGCCATTCGTGAGAAGAGTACGCTAAAATCACCTCCGAATTTTCAGGTCGGTATGGCAGTCAGATTGGGTCACGAAAGTCGATAAGGTGAAAAGTCTACTCGTATACCTCGTCTGTGGTAAACGCAAACAGTTGTTTTATCTACACATGTTACGTTTGTTCACTCGGTAATTATCATTCAGCGCGATCAGATCAACATTTTAGATAAATATCATAACTAGACTTCGGATCTTTATGCAAATTCACATTTTTATTAATAGAATTAATGAAACGGAAGCTTCGCAGAGGGCTGTCTCAACCCCTAAATATAATAATTCGTATCTTACTTTAAGTATTTCTTATATTTTTGCATATTAAATGCATTCTGTAGTCTTTTGAGGATTATAATTTCCCATAAATGCATAAAAATCCGCAGTCTAATCATAACCATAGAAATTTTCGTCTTGCTCGACTGCCATTAAATTTTCGAAATAATTTTATCTGGAATGGGAAATCCAACCGCTCGATCGATAAGTTATCCATCGATTTCAGTTTGTTTAAAGACTTCGATACTTCTCCGCGTGGATTCATTCGTATAATACGATAAAAATTACGAAATTCTTAAAAAAATATTCGTTCGCTATTCTTTTCGATTTTGTTAATATTCGTGATATATGGCAATTATTTGTCAGGTCTTCCGTGTGGTATATTATATTATATTGGTAAAACTAGGTTCATTTTTACGTGGTTTTCGTTGTCCGCCATATTTGCTCGATTATAACGAAAAACGTTTGCATCCAGATGAAACGTTATAC